TGCAAATAGGCCGCCCGCTGGGGTGACCCAGACTAGCGGAGCTTAGCAGGGCTCTTGGGAAATCTCAGCGGTGGAGGGTTGGGAGGGGCAGTGAGGGCCAGGCTATGCCTGGACGGGATGGGCATGGGGTGAAGCAACACCCGCAGGCAGTGCCTTTTCCTGAATTCAGCACAGGTTAGGGGAGGCGAGTCAGGGCAGGCCTAGTCCTCTCATGCCCCAGCAAGGCAGGCAGCGTGGCCTCGGGCCAAGTAGGAGAAAAGGTGGAGGGGAGGGCATGGTCATGAGGGAATGTGGGAGATTAATTTTCAGTCAGTGGAGTTTTGGAGTAGTGAAGATGTGCTGAAAATGTAGGGTCCCGTGCACAGGTGGAATTTAGGACTCTCACCAGTGCAGAAGCTGGGTGCCGGGGGAAGGGGCCTCGGATGAATCAGAAGGCATTTGTGCAGCTGGTGACTTTTGGAAGAAGCAGGTGCAGGAAACAGAGCTGTCCACAGAAACCAGCAGTTTAGTGGGCACTGTAGTGGGAGTTATGGCAGAGCCTTCTGTTGGTGGCTCCTTGCTGTAGCTTTGGGAAGTGTGGCGGGATAACGAAGAGGCAGGCGCCTGGTGTAGGGAGCCTGCGTCAGGGCACAAGGCCTGCCAGCTGGCCCCGAGAGCCCGTCCTTTCTGGGCTGTGTGCTAACAGAGGAGCACAGCAGGGTGTGCCCAGGACTCCAGGGCAGGTGTCAGGAAGGGAGAGTTGGAGCACCCAGGTGCTCCTGGCCTCCTGCCCTTGCCGCAAGGTGTCAGAAGATGGCTCCTCGGGGGAGTCAGACGGGCCTGGCCCTAGTGGAGAAGGACGAGTGTGTGAGGCGCAGAAGTGGAGGGGTGCGTGGGACACCACCTACCTTCTCATCAGGGCTGACCCAAGGCCAAGCGAGGTGAGTGGGGCAGTGAGACCCCTGGGAGAGCTGAGCTGGGGGACACAGGAGCCCAGGCTGCTGAGCAGCAGTCCAGGCTACAGTGAAGGCACAGAGGCCTCAGTGATCTTTTCATGAGGGAGCTGGACCTAGGGCAGAGCTGGACTGAGGGCGGAGCAGGAGGGAAGCCGTGCTGCCCCAGAGGGTTAGGGGCCTCCATTAAATAATAATACTCCTCTTACACAAGTGCAGCCTCTGCCTCCTCCTCATGTGCAAGCTTAGCTGCTGTGTACATGGTGGAAGAAAACAGGCCCCTGTGGCTTGACAGGGACCCAGGCGTTCACTGGACTGTCCCAACTTGGGGGGGCTGGGGAGGCTCTGTGGACAGATGCAGGGGCATCTGTAGGACAAAAGCCAGCTGTGGGAAGACTCAAGAGTGTGGTGGCATTTGTAGGTCCCACACACGCATGCGTGTACACACTCATACACACAGGGTAGCAAGCAGTCCAGGGATACCTGAACGGGGATGGAAAAGACAAATCCCACATTTTGAGGAAGGTGTAGAGTAGTCAGGTCTAATGTTTCAATTTTCATTTAAAAGGAGTTGATGCCACCAGGCATGGTGATACACTTCTATAATCCCAGCACTCGGGAGGCCAAGGCAGGAGGATCGCTGCAAGTTCGAGGCTAGCCTGAGCTACAGAGTGAGTTCAAGGCCAGCCTGAATTGCATAGTGAAACTCTGTCCCCACCACAAGTAAATAAATAAGTAAATGGAGTTGATGCACCCTCCCATGTCAGTATAGAGCATTCATTCTGTTTACTGCAGGAGAGGTTAAAATAAGTGCTGCTCCCGTATATTTGCGACGTCTCATGCTGAAGAACACAGTTGAATTCACGGAGGCTTGTGCCAGCAGCTCTTCTGCTGTTCTTGGATTCATTAGTGACTTGCCGCCTTCCACTGGATACCCTCACCCCGTACACACTGGGTTCTGCATCCCAGCTTGTCTGCCCTGTCCCCTTGAAGATGCCTTCCCTGGTGCGGTCTGTGTGCACATGGAGGCGGCTCTCCTAGGTGGCCCTGGCCTTCCAGCCACCAGCCTGGGCTTTTAAGCCAGTGGTCTGAGGCTGCCGATCTGTTTGCTTGGAGGAAAAGATTTGCTTTCCGTATTTTACAGAGAGCCATCCCAGGGCGCAAGTTGGCTTTCTCTTGGCAGGGATGCACCAGAGCAGGGAACAGGGTGACTGTCATTCACAGTGGCTTTAGATGCTAGTCTGGGAGCCCTCTGCCCTTCCAGGCTTGGGAAGTGGGGGAGGTGGGTGGCTTTATGTAGTTACCTTTCCTGCATTTAAGGAAGTCCCTTAGCTTAGGGACACTGGTGAACCCCTGGCTCAGGGTCAGGAATGAGGGAAGGGCTTGCCCTCCTGCCCCACCCTGAGGGTTACTTTGACACTGCAAAGCCATGATGGCTGTGTCATCAGTCACTGTGGCTGCTGTTCTGGTTGACTTGGGAGTGGCAGAGGCTGCGGAGCTGCGCCCACACCCATAGGGTGAAAGGTAGGAGCTGCAGGTGGCAGGTGGAAGTCCCCACCGGATGAGGGGTGTGGCCTCTGCCCAGGAAGAGGGTAGGAGACCATTAAGGAGGCAGGGGCCAACCTACAGCTTGGTTTTCCCTTTTTGTTGTTTTTACGGTAGATATAATTGGGTGGGTCAAGTGGATGGTGACTGCCCCCTGGTTGTGACCGGTCAGGTGATGCCATGCTGTGGGCTGTGTGGACGGAGGCTGGGGGCCTTGGGTGTAGACGGGTGCCTCTCCACTCATCCTGGCCCCCTTGATTTTATCTTTCTTGTCTCTGGCTGTGTTGATCGGCTCCCTGTGGCTGCCCCTGCAGAGCAGTGGGTGGGCAGATGTGTATGCTTGCCTTGGGGACGCAGGCATCCAGGACCACTTACAGCCAGCCTGGGGGCTTAGCTCCGAGAAGCCTTCTGTCTGTGGCCATTCCACCGAGTGTGCCCCCAAAAGCCTTCTCCACCCATGATGGGTCTAGCACCTCCTGTGGCAGACAGATGCTGAAGCATCCTTAGACACATTGCAAAATGACAAGAGATCTGTGTGTACACATGAGAGACCTGCAGAATGTGACCAGTGGGTCATCCAACATCACAGTTCTTCGAGAACCTCTGACCGATCCTCCCCACACCAAATCCCAGACCCAGTAAAATTGCATTGTAAATATTTCACTATATATTACCAACAAGTAAGAGGTCTTTTAACAAATCACAATATCATATGATATCTAAAAAAGACTTAGCTTGCTTCTTTATTGGGATGAGGTAATGCTTGTTTGGAATGAATCCTTAGTGTGAACGCAGCTCTGTGCTCAGGTTAGGAAGAAAAGAGGAACAGCTTATCCATCCTGCCCCAGGCCTGCTGCAAATCTAGAAAGACTACCCATTGTAGGGCCAGTTAGAATGCTTTATAATTATTCTAAAACTGTCAAAATAAGGAAACCCAGTGGGCGTGGTGGTGCATACCTGTCATCCTTCACTATGGGGAGGCTGAGGCAGGGGGATGTTAAGTTCAAGTCCAACCTGGGCAATTTAGCAAGACTTTGTCTTAAAATAAAAAAGTCTGAGGATGTACCTTAATGGTAGAGGTCTTGTGTAGCATGTGTAAAGCCCAGGACCCCTCTCAAAAAATACCCACAACTCTCTCTTAAATTTAAGTAGTTCTGAAAAGGATATTTTAGTCCTGGAAAGGACACTAAATATTCCCAACCTTGACTCTCTGGAGCTGAGGTTTGGTTTCTGAGCAGACCTAGCATGTGTGCCTCTGCATAGCTGACTGCACACACTGTGTCATCTGCTGCCGTCGATAATCCCCTGATTGTCAGTCGCACTCGTTTCTTTGCCGCTGAGAATGCCATACGCCTCCTGTGCGCTGAGACCTGGGAGGTGTTAGGAGTTAACCCAGGGACTTGCGGGAGTACTGGGGCCCCTCGAGTAGCCTCTTGAGAAACACATTCAGAGCTGTCTGCTTTGATGCCATCCTCAGCACTACATTTTTCTGTAGCAAGCGTGTCAGTCGTCTTGCTGCTTTCAAACATGGGATCTATGTCTTCAAAATGGACCAGGCTATCGGGGTTTGCTAAGTGATAAGTGGGATGCAGTTTTGCCTGTTTGCCCATTTTGAAGTCAGAGCAGAGCTTGAAGGTCCTATGTGACAGTTCCCAGGTGGTCACCCACGCCAGCCTCCCCCTCACTCCTAGAGATGCCACCTGCCTCTGGGCCTCTACCTAAATCTCCTGGTGACATTTCACTTCGCATGTGGGAGTCCAGGCTTGAACCCTCAACTCCCAGCCCCAGCCTGACTCCTGGCCACACCTAGGCTTTTGGTGCCAAACAGAGGGTTCCAGCCAGGGCCCGAGGGTCCATTTCATCGGCTTGCCCAGCCCAGGTGCCTCTGAAATGCCTCGGGGGGGCTGAGGCCACTCTGGCTTCCGGTGCCGCCTGTCAGGGGGCACACCAGTTCCTGTGTGCATTTCGTTGGCTGTCTCTGATGCAATGCAGAAGCCGAGGGAGATTTCCCAGGTCAGCCCACAACAGCACCAGAGGCACAGGCGTTTGTCGTTGGCGCCGAGACCCTGCCTGAAGGTGCGGGGCTGCTGGGGCCGCGCCTGCGGATGCTCGGGCTTCTGTGCCGCCCTCTGATGGGTGGCAGTGAGAAAGGGACTTGTCTCTGCAGTGGTGGTCCCTCCACAGCCACCAGCTCCCTGTACCTGCTGGGAGGGCTTGGGGTGCTGGCTGGGGGGGGGGTGTGGTTTGGGGATGGTCAGGGCACAGGGGCCTGGGGACGCTGGGCTTCCATGGGCTTAGCCTCTGCAACCTTCCCAGCCCTTTAAAGAGAGGGGTATGCAGTTGTCTGCGCATACAGGACAGGAGACGGGTAAGAAGTAGGGGGGACGACAAAATTCCATCTGTTGGTGAAGATGTAAAATCTGTTAAACAAGGAGGAAGAGCTTCTCTGCAGGAGGATCTACAATTCTAGGAGGGATTTTTCTGGGATAATGACCCACTATGTTCTGTTTTCCCGTCTTCTAGATAACCGCTCGAGATGGCAGAAGCTCACCAAGCTGTGGCCTTTCAGTTCACTGTCACTCCAGACGGGATCGACCTCCAGCTGAGCCATGAAGCCCTTAAACAGATCTGTCTCTCAGGCCTTCATTCCTGGAAAAAGAAGTTCATCCGATTCAAGGTTCTCCAATATTTGTCTTTTTTTTTTTTGTTTTTTCTCTGGTACCGGGAACTGAACTCACAACCTTGCGCTTGCCAGGCAGGCGCTTCGCCGCTGAGCTAAATCCCCATCCCCGAACCTTTGTGTTTTTTTTTTTGTTGTTGTTTTTTCTCCGGTACCAGGAACCGAACTCACGACCTTGTGATTGCCAGGCAGGCGCTTTTGCCGCTGAGCTAAATCCCCAGCCCTCCGATATTTGTCTTAATCCCTACAGTGAGCCCTTTGACATATAAGAATGGCTGTCTTGATGCCATGGAGGAGTTAGTGTTTTAGATTAGAAATGGCATGGAATTTGTTTCCATGGTCCCTAAGGATCATGGGCACCTTCAGACATACATTGGCTACCGAGTTCTGGTGAATCCCGAAGGCCTTCACCTTCGAGCACATTGACTCACTGTAAAACAGCATGGAAAGCCGAGGCTCCCAGGGCAAGTGACCTAGTTAGTGAGAGGTCTCATCAAAAGTAGAAGGCATGTCTCTAAACTTCAGCAAGTGTGTTTAGTAACTGTTTAATAACTGGGTGTAGCCCAGTGGTAGATTGAGGATTGAGTCTGGGGAGTGATGAGAGCTACACCCTCCGGCCCAATTTTAGTTTCTTCAAAAAAAAACTCCAGCAGGAATAAATGGGGGTTTGAAAACATTCAAACCAGGTCACTGAGTCAGGAGGCACCAGCCCCAGCCTGCTGTGTGGAGTGTGACTCTTTGGAGTCCCTCTCTGGGGTGGCACAGGAAGGTTGTTGGAAAGGCCCCTGGACTAGAGTAGGTGGTAGCAGATGAATCCTCAGAGCCAACTCCCTGCCCTTGTGTCCTAGGGCTCAGCGGATGGCTTCCTGGTCCCAGGTTACCAGGTGATGTGTTCATCACTGTGGGGGGGGGGGGAGAAGGAGGGCGCCCCCTACAGGATGGAAACTGTTCGACCACAAGACCTTGTTTTGCTGAGAGCTGGCAAGGCTCATAGAATAAACAATATATGGCCACACCTCATAAGGGAACGGTGCTATAACCAGTAGGAGGAGGGGCCTCCAGGCTGCCAGAGCTGCTGCAGGGCTCAGGCCTTGGTGTGGGTTTGTGGCTGGGAGACTTGGTGTCCAGGACACATTTTACTTTTTACTCAATTTCACTAAACTGATTTATTATTAAAAACATTTTCATTTCACAGAGTATACTTAGACATTTGGAAGTCTAATGGGGCGGACATGTAGGAGTGGGAATACGTCTTAAGAGAATTCTGGCAAAGCTTCAATGGCTTTATTGTCAGTTCTTGGTCAAACCAGTCCTGGGGTGACAGGCGTGTGCCACCAGCCCCTTCAAACCAATATCTTATGGAAAGATTCTAGAGAGTTTTTCAGATACCCAGTGGTCCTTAATGTTTTCCTCCTGATTTCAACAGTGATCTATATTTTGCCAGTTTTGTTCCATATACTTTTTTTTTGTCTTCTTGAGACAGGGTCTCACTATGCAGTTCAGGCTGGCCCTAAATTCACTTTGTAGCCTAGGCTGGTCTTGGACTCGCAAAGATCCTCCTACCTCAGCCTCTCAAGTGCTGGGATTACAGGTGTGCACCACCATGCCCGGCCATATACTTCTTTTTTCTTCCCCTGGAGCATTTCCCAGCAAATTCTCACATGGACTGTGGAACCTGTAAACAGGGGCTCCAATTCAGGGACCATGCAGGGCCAGTAATGCAGCCGGGTCTTGGGTGTCCTGGGCAGTAGCAGGTTGGGGGTAGGACTTTCTGGTGGCCCAGGGATACCCTTCAGCAGCAGCTATCGGGAGCTAGTCTAGGTAGAGCTTAGGAGTCTATATGGTAAACTGGTGCCTGGGTGATCCTCATGTCCCGGGGTCACAGTTGGGGAACAGTCATCTCAGGGTATGATTTGTTAAGATGGTGATGAAGGGGGCAAACTGTACATGGTAGAGACCCAGCTGGTGGTGGTGGTGGTTCGGTCCCTGGTCACCTGCCCATGCTTTCACTCCACTGCCTGACATCTGCTAGCTTCGTGTGGCACAGCCAGTGCGGAGGACATGGCTCATGGTCCGCATGTCTTTGTCTAGAATGGCATCATCACCGGCGTGTTCCCGGCCAGTCCTTCCAGCTGGTTCATCGTGGTGGTGGGTGTGATGTCATCCATGTACACCAAGGTGGACCCTTCCTTAGGGATGATCACCAGGATCAGCCGGACCCTTGATGGCACGTGAGTAGTCCTGTCCTCTTGTCTCCAGCTGTCCAGGCACTCGCTTATTTTCCAGCTGCCAATGTTTGTGTGTCTCTTCAAGTACTGTGACTGTCACTGTTCTAGGTTTGCTTTGAAGCTTTTGCTGTCTTTCTCATGCTGGCTTTCCTCCCATTTCCTGGGATGGTGTCAAAGTCCCCTGGGAGTTTGTGAGCCAGATGAGACCTAGGGTGCCCGCCCACCAGGTGTCCCTGTGCCCGCGGCCCAGCAGTGGCAGTGTGTGGAGCTCACAGGGGAGCTGTGTGTGGCCTGCAGGGGATTTCTCCCGGGAGGCTGGTTACCAGTGTAACTACTTCTTTACACTGCACTTCTCCATCCCCGAGTTCTGGTCCCCCTGAACTGACTGCTAAGGATGGAAGGTCTGAGGCCATGTCGGCCCTTAGTTCTCTTCAGAGTGGCTTGGACCCCCTGGGGAGCCCCTAGCACTTCTGTGCCTGCAGTTTTAGGTTTTTCCACATGCAGCACTGGAGAGAGAGAGAGAGGGAGAGAGGGAGAAAAGGAGAAAAGAAGAGAGGGAAAAGAGGAGAAGAGAGGAGAGGCGGGGAGGGGAGGAGAAAAGAAAAACTGGCAAAAGTGTAGTGCAGATTCTACTCACTCATAGCTAATGACTGACTGTGTTTGACTCTGATGACTCAAATGATGGAGCAGACTTAACTGAATCGAATGGATATTCAGCTAAGAGTGGTGGTCCTGACTCCTGGACTTTTTCAGAGGGCCTAGGGGGTCCTCCATGCCCTGGTCCCTAGCAGAACACTTGGGTGTGAAGGAGAGGCCAGCCCGGCAGTGCTGGCTCTGGCTTTATAAGCACCTGCAGGAGATGGAATAAAAATTCCCAGTCATCTTGGTGGAACCGTGCCTGGCCTGGATGCCTGCCGGTTTCCTTGTCTGCCTGAGGATGGGGACTCTATGGCAGGCACTGCTGTCATTTCCATCAGAGTGCAGCTGGCAGGGCCGGTCACTTGGCCCAGCTGTCTCCTTTCTACCTTAGGTCCTGAGAGCATCAGGCTATTCCCTGGGGACAGCGTGCTCCTGTACTTTCACATTTTGCTTTTTTTTTTTTTTTTTTTTTTTTTTATACCGGGGATAAAACCCAGGCCCCTAGCACGAAACTATATTCTCTATTCTTTTTCAGAAATTTTTATTTTCACACAGAATCTTGTTAAATTGCCCAGGCTGGGCCTGAATTTTTGAGACCTAAGGTGCCTCAACTTCTGCCTCAACCTTCTGGGATTATCGGTGTGCGTCACCACTCCCAGCCACGCCTTACATGCTGAGCCGGTTCGGTGTCCTTTTAGATTGCTTTGGGGCCAGACTAAACTTCGTAAATTTTACTTCAAGGCAGGATCTTGCTGAATTCTCTGGGCAGGCCTCAAGCTCCCGCTACAGCCTCCTGAGTTAAAGGCAGACTTGTAATTCACTCTCTAACCTAGGCTGTTGCTGAAAACTGGATTCTCTTCAGACGTGTCAGCTATTTAAAGCCTTTTGTAATCTGGGTCTTTATAAGATTTGTTTCTCTGTCCCTCTGAACCTATTTTGGTAAACTGGGCCATCTGTGGTGCATATTTAGAAAGGTCAGGTTAAGGCTCAGTGTCTTCCAGCCTCGAGGGCCTCTTCTGCTGTCTCCCGGGGAGGAAGGCACTCCGGTATCCTGTGCTGCTGGGTTGTAAGGGGTTGAATTTAGTTTAGTTTTGTTTTTTTCAATATTGGACATAGTACCCAGGGCCTCACACACATGAGACAAGTGCTTTCACACTGAGCTACCCCCACCCTAGTCTTAGGGTGCTGCTGTCAGAGTGGCCACATGTGGGTTCATCACTGCTTCTGTCCATCCCTGCAGCCTCGAAAATAGCGTGTTCTTGTTTTGTTTTATTTTGTTTCATCTTTTTCTTTTTTTCCTGTCTTTTTGAAATGGAGTCTCATTATGCAGGTCAGGCTGGTCTTGAGCTCACTTTGTAGCCCCGGCTGGTCTCAAGCTTGCAATGGTCCTCCTGCCTCAGCCTCCAAGCGCTGGGATTGCAGGTGTGTGCCACCACGCCCAGCTTTGTTTTTTGCTTTGTTTCGTTTGAGACAGGGTCTCACTATGTAGCCCAGGCTGGCCTTGAATTCACTATGATCTGCCTGCCTCAGCCTCCTGAGTGCTGGGATTGCGGGCATATGCCACCACATCCAGTGGGAGCATGTTCTTTTTAAAAGAAAGCTCTCAGCTGTCTAGGTGCCTATGTGTACATATAAAAGCCTTATAGCTGGGCATGTTGGCGCATGCGTATAATCCCAGCACTTGGGAGACTGAGGCAGGTGGATTATAGTGAGTTCTTTTGAGGCCAGCCTGGGTTACATAGTGAACTCAAGGCCAACCTGAATTATACAGCAAGACCTTATCTCTATTTTTTTTTTCTTGGTCTTTTTGAGACAGGGTCTTGCTATGTTCAGACTGGCCGTGAGCTCACTTGGTAGCCTAGGCTGGTCCTGAACTCGCAGCGATCTTCCTGCCTCAGCCTCCCAAGTGCTGGGATGACAGGCGTGTGCCACCATGCCCGGCTAAGACCTTGTCTCTAAATAAATAAATATAAAAAGTCCTGAGCATGTTATTTATTTGTCTGATTTTTGTGAGTTAAATTGTGCTGTGGTATTAAAGTACTTAGAAATATAAAATGTAGATTATACTAAAGATAGCTTCTTCAGTCCCTAAATCCAAGTTCGGGCTTGCAGATTAGATTATCAGGAGAGATCACACTGGTTTAGAGGCTACTGTGGAGCGCTAGAGTTGGCAGATTATAGAAAAATACCAGTTTTGAAGCTAAAGTTATTTTCCTTAAATATAATTTGTTTCCATGCCAGTTAAGTATCATAGGATGTTAAATGGCTAGTTCCTGAGACTGTGTTTGGTTGTTTGTTGTTTTAACCATTTGAAGGACACTGAAATAGTTTTTATTTTTTCAATATTTTGCAGTTTCCAAACAGCTGAAACTAAAAACCAGAAACTAACTGCATTTTTGTCTCATTTTATTCCTTCATAATATTTGATTTTGTTTTTAGTTGTCTTAAACCTATGGTCATATAATTTACAGATTTATACAAGTGATGTATCTATCTCCTTGACTTTAATCCTTTTATTGGGTCAGTGCTCTCTCATTTTTACAGATTCATTTTTTACCATAAAGTACCCTACTTCCATTCACAAAGGACAGCATTTCTAATGAGGTAGCTCAGGATGGCCTTGAACTTGTGCTCCTCCTGCTTGGCCTCTTGAGTGCTTCAGTGACTATTTTAGTGTTCATTCATAGTAAGTACTCTTGTCTAGATCGTAAACAAGCTCTTTTGATATAAAGTAGTTCTGGTAATAAATGTGACATCCAGAGGTAGATTTGAGAGGGGAAAACACAGAAAGAGTGAAGGAAATGGCCCAGAATCCCTGTGAGCACCAGGCAGGGTGGTCCCCATCCACCAGGGCCTGGGCATCCTCACAAGCAGATCTCCACCTAACAGTGGCTTGCCGGGACCCTGGAGAAAGCCGAGTATTTTTCCAACAAAAGCATATTGGCTGGTTCACTCTGTTTTTTCTTTTTCTTTTTCAAGACAGGGTGTCACTGTATAGCTCAGGCTGGCCTCGCACTGCTCCTGCCTCTGCCTCCCAAGTGCTGGGATTATAGGCTTGCACCACCACGCCAGGCTCCATTCCTTTTTTTCTAAGAGGTGGTCTTGCTGTATTGCCCAGGCTGGACTCCAGAGATCCTCCTGCCCCAGCATCCTGAGTAACTGGGACTATAAGCAGTACCACTACGTCCGCCCAAAGGCTGCTTCACTTTGAGGCAGGGAAGAGAGTTGCTGTGGGCTTTGGAGAGGGGGATTCCTGAGTGTTCTTTCTGTTGGGGCCAATTCTGATTTGGGATGCGATGGCCTTCCCTCTTTTTGGTCACTCAAAAGCTGCTTTGTCCTGTCGCATGTGGTATCTTGCACGGGTGTTACCCGCGGGCTTCTTCCCATGTTTGCGCTTTTGTAACTCATCTCGATTTGTCCCCCAGCGGCTACATGTCCACCCAGACGAAGGACGTGGTCAGTGGTTTCCTCTTCGGCACAGGCCTGTGGGTGGCGCTCATCTTCACCATGCGCTACTCGCTGAAGGTGCTCCTGTCCTACCACGGCTGGATGTTCGCCGAGCACGGCAAGATGAGCCGCAGCACCAAGATCTGGATGGTAACTGAGCACCACTTGCAGGGGGGATGGTCTCTGGTGTTCAAGGAGGGGTCCTCTGGGGCTGGTTCTCCTTTGACACATGGCAGGTGGCTTGGTCTCGACCTCTGGTTGCTACGAAGACTGGATTCACCTTGGGCTTGGGCCCAAGGGTATTTTCTCTGATGATGTTGGTGAGCTCTGTGACGTTCAGTCTTGCATCTGCTTATCTGTAGCTCAGATTGTTGGTCAGACAAACCCGCTCTCACTCCCCGGGTCTTTGTAGCTTTTATGCGCCCCTTGCATGCGGGCATTTAGTGGCTTCCTTGGCTGACCTGTCTGCTGGGTGGTATGAGGAGTGCCTTCCCGCCCACTCCTTCTGCTTGCTGTGGCCCTGAGCCCGAGGTTCCTAATGGAAAGTGGCAGGCTGTGATGTCCATCCAGTGTTAAATCTTTGCTTTAATGAGCTCACATTTTCTGAAATACTGGCCGTCCAAGGTAAGGATCATCCCCAGGTCTTGAGGCCTGTCCCTTCGGGGCTCGGCCCTGTGTCCCATTTGCTCCTCCCTGCCTGTCCTCACTGCTCTCCCCTGCTCTCGGCTCCGTAAGCTCTTTGGAGCTGGGCATCTCATTAAGAAATAGCAGCTTTGTTAACTTGTAGTTTATGGAGTGGCCTCAGTGATTTTCATGAACCTGGTCCTGGGGAGATTTTCCTTAAAATCCTCTTCCCTCCTGCCCTGGGCTCACTCTTGGTTTTATTAATGTTTGTGAAGCGGTGTGGTAGCTTTGGTGATCTTGTCTGAACCTGAGGTCGGGCCCCTATGCTCAGTGGCCACATGGGTGCCCCAGCTGTGGCCTGGCCTGCTGCCCTAGACCTCCCAGGAATCACCTAGGTGCCACCACAAGAGGGCTCCCCTCTTTCCCAGACCATCTTTGCTATTATCACATGGGTGTTTTCATTTCTGCAGAAGCAGTTGAACACCTAGATGAGCTATTGTTTTCTTGTGGAAAACACTTCAGGGACATTGCCCAGGGTGTCACTTGTCACTGATGTTGAGCTGAGTCCTAGGGCCCCTAGGATTGCATTTGTCCAGTCAGAATAGATGACTCGTTACTGTAGCAGGTCTAGATCAGCCTGCCTGCACCTGGGGAACTGTGCCCGCCACAGGCCTGACCTGACCTGGGGACTGTGTACTCCACAACCAGGCACCTGGCTGGCTTTGAACCAATCCCAAAACAGAGGGCCTCATGCAAAACCCCACAAATGAAGACCCAGTGAGGCAGGAACGTCACAGGCCCCAGAGGTTGTGGCCAGGGAATGAACCAGGGGTAGCAGCGTCTCAGAGCCTCTGTCAGATGCAGCTTTTATATTTTCCTTGGTGCACCTGTCTATGTGTGCGTGTGTGCATGCGTGCATGTGCCAAGGCCCTTGAGTATGGGGGCAGAGAATGGGTCCTCAGAAAAATAAACTGGCAGAGATGATCAGTAAATAGCTGGCAAGTTGGTACAGTGGAGAACTGGCTTTGGGCCTTTAACTTAGCCTCATCTTTGAAACTGACTTTTTTTTTCAGACTATGGTCAAGATCTTTTCAGGTCGGAAACCCATGTTGTACAGCTTCCAGACCTCTCTTCCTCGTCAGCCGGTGCCAGCAGTCAAAGATACCGTGAACAGGGTGAGTGTGTGTCCTCCTCATACTTGGGAATGCCAGGCACCTTTCAGATTAAGTCTGTCCGATTATGACTGTATGTTAATTTTCTGTCATTTGCTCTTTTGTCCTCTTTTTTTTTTTTTAAGACAGTCTCACTGAGTAGTTCAGGCTGACCTCAAACTCACAGCTATTCTCCTGCCTCAGCCTCCCAAGTGCTGGAATTATAGGCATGCGCCACCACGCCTGGCTGTCATTTGCTTTTATTAGCTCTCAGCAGTGTGCCTTGTAGGGTTTTTATGATTTTTTTTAAAGTATCATTGTATTTTGGGGGTTTGTTTGTTTTTTTTAAGATAATCTTGCTCTGTTCAGGCTGACCTTGAACTCACTATGTAGCCTAGGCTGGCCTTGAACTCATAGTGATGCTCTGCCTCTGCCTTCCAGGTACTGGGATTCCAGGTGTGCACCACCATGCCTGGTTGAGCATAAGGGTTTTAAGGTTCATCTATACTGTAGCCTGGGTGTCCTTCTGCCCTTTTTAATAATAATCTTTTTTTTTTTTTCTTTTTTGGTACTGGGAATCGAACTCAGAACCTTGTGCTTGCCAGGCAGATGCTTGTGCCGCTGAGCTAAATCCCTGGCCCTGGATCAGGTTTTGCAAGTTTCAGTCCTTTCATGGTGTGGCCTGGTGGAAGCAGCTCTAAGGAGAAGAGCTGCTCATGTCACAGCATCCAGGCAGGAGAGGGCAAGGGGAGGAGCCCAAGGGAGATGCCACCTTCTAGGCCACAGATCCACCCCTTCTGACCAGAGCCCCCCCTCCTAACATCACACTTATCTGTAGCATCCCATGATCCCATCAAGAGCCCTGCCTTTGAGTGCATGAGGCTTTAGGGGGACATCAAGATAGAAACCACAACAAGGTTATACAGTTCAATTATCAGCCTGCAGTGTCATTTAGCACTGGTGTGAGTTAACCCGGCTGTGGACAGGTAAGACCAGCTCAGGCAGTTTAGTCTTTTTGTTGTGCTGTGACCACTCTAAGGCACAGGTGATGCAGCCACAGCTTTCATTCATGAGTTTAAGGCGCTCGATGTTTTTTTCACTCACCCCAGTATTTGGAATCAGTGAAGCCTCTTATGAAGGAGGAAGACTTTAAGAGGATGACAGTGCTTGCCCAAGATTTTGCCGTCAATCTTGGACCAAGACTGCAGTGGTATTTGAAGTTAAAGTCCTGGTGGGCCACGAATTATGTAAGTATTTATAGACATGACCTACCTTTCTTTTTGTGTGTGTGTGGCACTGGGGGCTTTACCACTGAGCTATATCCCCAGCTCTTTTAATTTTTTATTTTGAGACAAGGGCTTACTAAGTTGCCCAGGCAGGACCCACACTTGCAGTCCTCCTGCCTCAGCCTCCCTCAGTGTTAGGATGACAAGTGTGTACCACAGTGCCTTGCTTCATAACTTTTTCTTGATGAAATTTTTCTGTATGGAAATACTAACTGGAGGACAGGCATCACAGAGCTGGAATCCCATTTGAGATCAGCCACCATCACCTGTGAGACCCCATGCAGCTTGGTGGTCAGTGATGGGTTTCCCCAGGCAAGAAGGAGCATTTGTACCCTGCCCTGGCTGATGCTGCTTTTTTTTTTTTATTTCTTTTCTGGTACCGGGAATTGAACTCGTGACCTTGCGCTGGCTGCTGAGCTAAATCCCTAGTCAGGTGCTGTGCCGCTGAGCTAAATAAATCCCCAGCCCCCTACTGATGCTGCTCTCCCATGTGAGTCTGTAGTCTTCGGGCTGGAAGGTAGTCGTGATTTTACTCCCGCCAGTAGCTGTGAGTGCACCGTCTTTGCTACCTGCTCTGCCATCGGGTTTGGCTCCTTTGGGCTCCGAGAGCATTGCCTCTGAGCCCCCGGTCAGAGAGGCACCTGCAGCCCAGCGTTGATCACCTCCTGGGACTGCCCCAGGCCCAGGGTCCCCTTAGCGTCAGCTCCAGTGAAGCCTCTGAGCTGTGCAGTCTGCACCCTGACCCCATGGAGCAGCCATGTGTCGGGGTAGAGCGAGTGACATATTCCGGGCCACACAGTGTGGGGAGAGTCTGTGATTCGGGGCACAGCTCACATGGAAGAGGAGGTTAAGGATGACCCCGACAGAGCCAGTGGACGGGGCTGGGTTGAGACGGTCCTGCCTCTGGTGTTTGTTAGGGACAGCTCACCAGGTAACAGCTGAACACTGCTGCTAGAAGATGACCCAGCACACCCTGGCCCCTGTGTTAGTGCCACGGCTCTAATGTGGAGTGACACCAAGACTGGCTTTTTCAGGACCTGGGAAATAGAGGAGAAGCAGTCTGTGAGGCACTTTTGGATCTTTTTTTGGTGCCTGGAATTTGAACCCAGGACCTCACATGTGCTAGGCAAGCGCCCTGCTTACTACCCCAGCCCTGAGTATTGGTTATTAAAACACGTTAGCAGTCAGTCATCACTTTTTATGTTTTATTTTTTTCAGTACTGAGGATTTCATCCAGGGCCTTTGCCCTGAGCTACATTCCTAGCCGTTTTTTTTTTTTTTTTTTTTTTTTTTTGTTTTTTTGAGATACAGCTTTGCTGAGTTGCCCAGGCTGGGCTCAAACTTGCAATGCTCCTGCCTCAGCCTCCCAGAGTGCTATGATTACCGATGTGTACCATCGTGCCAGGCCACTCCGGCTTTTTTCAGATCATCTACATGATGAGCACACCTTCCAACTATGTCTCATCATAAAACGCTTTACATGTCCCACTTCCTTAATTGCATGTGCTCAGGGCTGCCTGCTCTGGAAAGGCCCCATCCTTCACTGGTGTCTGCACACCTGCTTTTCCTGCAGCGCGGCCTGCGCTCACAGCCTACATGGCTCCCTGCAAGTCTGAGCCTCTGGTTTCCATCCCCTAGGTGAGCGACTGGTGGGAGCAGTACATCTACCTCCGGGGCCGCGGGCCGCTGATGGTGAACAGCAACTACTACGCCATGGTGAGTCCCTGGGCCCGGCCAGCTGTCTGGGGCAGAATCCCTGTCTTGCGTGGGCGACGTCTTCACAGCTGTGAGCAGCTCAGGGGCTTGACCACAGCACCTACTGCTCCTGTTTCCGCATACCCAAGGCTTCGTGCTGCTATGTTGGTGCAGTCGCACAGGGACGTGGGCTGGGAAACCACCCTCGTGGCACCCTCAGCTCCCAGCTCTGGGAAACTTTGCTGCTGTTCCCCTTGTTCAGTGCTGTGTTTCCGTCTGCAGTGTCCCGAAGGGCTCGTGTGCTCTCCCACCCGAGAGCTCAGTGTGCTGCCAGCGCCTGCCCTTCTGTATGCTGAGGCATCGGCAGAGGCCAGAGGGAGGCTGCACGGAGCACCATTTCCCTGCCCCTTCACCGTTCTTCATCTTTTGAAACATTGACATTCATCAGAAGCCCCCGGTTTGGGTTGTCGGCTGCTGTCTTTTTTTGTCTTTCTGAGACAGGGTCTGGCTATGCAGTTCAGGCTGCCTTTGAGCTCACTTTGTAGCCCAGGCTGGTCTTGAACTCACAATAATCCTCCTTCCTCAGCCTCCCAACCCCTGGGATTACAGGCTTGCACCACTACGTCCGGCCTATCAACCACTGTTTAATGGAAGACTAGTTAAACTTCTCCTGTCCCTTCTTCACTTCCTTGTATTTCCCCCTCTTTTAAAAATTTTTTTTCTTCTCTGGGCTGAACTGTCTCAAACTGAGAAAAAATTGTCAGTGTAGTACATGGAGCTTCTTTTCCTGCATGATGGAGGCAGTGGCCACCTCGGTCCTTTCCCCTGGAGGATCCAAATGTGTCTTGTATAGACAGAGGCTCTTTTCCTGTCCAGCCAGAGTCCCCTCTGTATTTCCAACTTTCCAGGATGCTCAGGTCTGTGTTGCTTCTGGCCTTTTGCCAGCTGTGGAAAAGGAGGTTTTTAGAAGTGTATATGACATCTTTGTTGTAGGCGTAAATCTGTATCAGTGGATGTTTTAGGCTTGGGTTACTTCTCATTCAGAAAATTACCTTTACCTAATTGCTCTCTTCCTGTGCATTCTATGAAGCTATCTGGGGAGGAATATGGTTATCTTTTAGTAGTCCAGGAATACCTGGGGACTTATGTTCTGCATTAACAAAGTGAGGGTGACCAAAGTAAAAAATTAAATTGCAGTTTGTTTTAAAATTTGTTTTAAATTGCAGTAGATTAAAATGGTGGGATCCAAAGATACAGTGAATGTGTAAATTTATTACAGTGAAAGATACATTAGCATTACCATTCCTCAAGGCACCCTCCACCCCTCACCTCCTCCCCCATTTTGAACACACCTAGCTCACCATTCTTGTCACTTTCTGAAGTCTTCTTTCATGAGCGTCTTTAGTTGCACCATTGTAACTGCCTTGATATCCTGAATTGACCCAAAAGATGATCATCTTGACTTCAGGGAAGAGCCAGAAGTCACATGGTGCCCGATCTGGTGAATAAGTGGTTGAGAAAACACAGTAATGTTTCTAGGAGCCTGCCTTTCCATTGGATGGCACACAAACGGCAGCATTCACTTTATTTTTTATCGTACCTTGCAAAGACACTCACGAAAGAGGATTTCCAGAACTGCTTCAGAAAGTGGCAAGAATGATGGGACAAATGCATTCAAAGTGAGGGGGAGTATTTTGAGGGGGATTGATGGCAATGTATCTTTCACTATAATTTTTAAAAACTCAAATATTTACCATGTATTTTAGGTATACCTTGGACATTTGAATGTATCTATAGAAATATCTTTACAGTGAGGATAGGCTCTGCAGTGTATTCAAATCAGTATCTTTTCCCATGAACGTTCTCTGTTGTCATACCCTTCTCTTTCCAGGAGTTGCTCTATGTCACCCCGACCCCTATCCAGGCAGCAAGAGCGGGCAACACCATCCACGCCATCCTGCTGTACAGACGCAAGCTGGACCGGGAGGAAATCCAACCAGTATGCAAACACTGTGCTTTTAACAAATTCCTGTAAAACAGCCTTAGTGAGGGAAATTGCCATTGCACATGCTAAAGTTACGTGATCTGATAAGTTTCCACACAGCGGTATCCTTATAGCCGTCAAAACCGTCACCACAGTCAGGATAGCGAATCCATCACACCTGCTTCTTCACAATCTCTCCCTCTCAGATAACTCCTGATGCACTGTCTGTCATTCTGATTAGTTTGTCATGGCAAAACCTCTGTGTAAGTGGAATCCTATGTATGCATCTACCCAGCATAATTTTGAGACTTAATTGTTATATCCTAAATGGATATCTGTTTGGTTAATTTAGTTCTAGCACTTTCCCTCGGAAAAAAAAAATTTGTTTGTTTTTGTTTGGTGGTACTGGGGTTCAAACCCAGGGGCACTTTACCGCTGAGCCATCCCCATTGACCTTTTTATTTTTTAGGGTGAGACAGAGTGTCACTAAATTGCTTAACCCAGCCTTGAACTTGGAGTCTTCCTGCCTCAGCCTCCTGAGTAGCTAGGATTACAGGCACAAAAGTGCCTGGCTCTTTTCTCTCTTAAATACCCTCTTTGGTTAAGCGTCAGTTTGTAAAGAACACATTCAAGGGCCTTATTTTGGAAGTAAGTGCCAAAAGTCCAATGTTGCCGTGGTGTAGCCAAGTCCCCTGTGAACCCACCCCGGGAGCAATTGGAGAAGATGGAGTTGAGCGCAGAGAACAGATGCGGCATTTAGATGTGTGGTCTTCATTTCCTCCCTTTTTATTTTCCTTTGGAACTTTTGTTTGTTCGTCTGAAGCACATTTTTATTACAGATTCGTCTTGCTTCTACAATTCCCCTCTGCTCAGCACAGTGGGAGCGGTTGTTCAACACCTGCCGGATCCCGGGGGAGGAGACAGGTGAGTGGGCCTCCTCCAGGCCCCTTTGGCAACCAGCACTTTCCAGCCTTCCACTCCCAGTGAGCGGGGTCGGCCAAGGGACCGCTCTGATTTTGGAGTCTTTCTTGAGAGGGTGGGGTCATGAGCACTCCTGTTGGATTTCCTTTGTCTTTTTTTTTTGTTGTTTTTTGTTTTTTTCTGGTACCGGGAATCAACTCACGACCTCGCACTTGCCAGGCAGGTGCTGTGCTGCTGAGCTAAATCCCCAGCCCCTTCCTTTGTCTTCATTAAGCCTGGACAATGGGTCTATTTCCAGATTTTAGTTTTTCTTCAGCAATGTTTTTTCCATGTCCGCCAAACTATTTCTGTTTCTTCTTCTGGATTCCTAGGACATTTCTCTGGCTCTCAGGCAGGGTTGATTGTAAAATGCAAACTGGATTGTACTGGAGAAACTGGATTGTGGGCCAGCTGCTGGGTCGCCACATTGTCTGCCCAAGACATCCCAGAGAATGACAGGGAGGGACAGCTGCTATCCGCTGGGATGGCCCAGGGCCCTACAGATCACACTGTGATGTCTGTGCAGGTGGGGAAATGTGGAGATACATGATTGGCCAGCAGAACCTGTCTAAGAGCACATCATAGGCTCTTGTGTAGCCCCATTGCTGCATTTGGTCCACAGGGGAAGGTCCCCTGCTCATCCAGCCTCTGACTGTGTTGCTGCAGCTGAGCTTCCCTGTGGAGGTTTCGTGGTCCCTACTATGTCCCTGCACAGTCACTGATGCATTTGCATGGCTCTACACTGGGAGGTCTAAGTAACCTGGAGGTGACTTAAAGTGCTTGGGAGGACGTGCATAGGTGATTACAAATATGACGCTGCTTTTTTTTTGTTGTTTTTTTTTTCCGGTACCGGGAATCAAACTCGCAACCTTGTGCTTACCAGGCAGGCGCTGTGCCGCTGAGCTAAATCCCCAGCCCTGACACCACTTTATATAGGCAATTTGAACACTGGGGATTTTGGGGTCCACAGGGAGTCCTGGAATCCATCTCCTTCAATAACAAGGAGCAGCTGTCTAAACTTAGCACTCCTTCCTTTCCTTTTCCTTTTTTAGTACTGATGATTTAATCTAGAACTTTGACAGTTCGATTCCCAATACCCCCCCAAAAAACAGTGAAATAAAATTTAGAAGATTTGAACAGAAGATAAAGTACTAACTTAATCACTCAAGTAGAGTCATTGTCTGCATTTTTGGTGTACTTTGATATATAGTATCAAAGCAGTTCGAGTATGTCAGCTGCTTCTGGCTTTTCTCTTTACCTTTATAAGGGATGTCACAGTGAATGTCTGTGGACCTCTCCTCCTTTGTTGTGGGTTAACCAGTTTGTGTGGTTAACTTGCTGGGTCTCACGGTAGGCTTTGCAATTTGACTGACACTGACAAATTGCTCTCAGTGATTTTAGCAATGGGCCCCTACCAGTCTAGAAGTGTCTTAGTTACTTTTCTCGTGGCTGAGACAAAATACCCAACAACCAAAGGCAAAGGAAGAAAGGTTTACTTAGCTACAACCTCACCTCTTTTACTTTTCACTTTGAGAGAGTCTTGCTAAGTTACCCAGGCTGGGCTCAGACTTGAAATCCTTCTGCCTCAACTTCCCAGAGTGCTGGGATTGCAGGTGTGCTCCACCACCTTCCTCAGTCCTGGCTTCATTTTATCTATGAGAACACTGAGGCTTAGAGCGGGTAGTGATCTGCCCTAAATCACTGATCCAGTGAGAGGCCGAGGTGTGCTTGGAAGCCTGGCCTGTCTGATTTCAGGGCTCTCAACACCCTTCTGTTTCATGATTTACGAAACACGGGCTCATTAACCTGAGTGGAATAACACAGGGGGGGGAATTGTGTCATTTGGAGGTGGGTACAGTCCTCTCACTCTGACCTTGTTCCTCTGGATTTTGTGTCCCCACTGCCTGTCCACCTCAGACACCATCCAGCACCTCAAGGACAGCCGGCACATTGTCGTGTACCACAGGGGCCGCTTCTTCAAGGTCTGGCTCTACCACAATGGGCGGCTGCTGAAGCCTCGAGAGCTGGAGCAGCAGATGCAGCGGATCCTGGATGACCCCTCAGAGCCTCAGCCCGGGGAGGCCAAGCTGGCCGCCCTCACTGCCGGAGACAGGTGCGTGGGCCCCTGGCAGCACTGTCCTACGTCCATCCGGACGTGGTGGTTGCGTCGCAGTGCTCTTCCAGCCCTGCAGTCCGGCCCTGTGGGTGCCTGAGGCAGTACCCGAGTGATCCCAGTCACTGTGTTCTGTGCTGCATGGTAGCAGGGCCCATCACAAGAACAGTCGGATTTGGTAGGGTCCCACGGCCACCTCTGCACATGACAGGCAGATGCATGTATAGAGAGATACATAACATGTGGAACATTTGACAGAGAGAACAGGGCGGGGAGCAGGCTTATCCTGGGGCTGTAGGCATGTTTACTAATGTAGGAAACAGAAGTAACTTAAACGAAGGCCCTGGTGTAGGCTTTTAGGATATGAAAGAACAAGCTCAGTTTGGCCTTCTGCTCACAACACAGGTCTTTTCTGTGGTACCCATAGGTGTGGAGACAGCGCTTCCCCACACCAGCAGCTGAACAGTGCTGCAGTGGACCCTGGCTAGGCCGCCTCTTGTTCAGCTCTGGAGGTAGCGTCAGTTCCCATGGGTTGTGGACTCACTCCCCAGGACCACCCGCTTCAGACCCAGGAGCGAATCTGAGCCTCTAGAACTTCTCGCTGATTGGCTACATACTTCCACGATGCCCTCTGTAGGCTCCATTAATTTCTTAGAGGGAGCTGGACGTGATGGTACACTCCAGTACTCCACTCTGGGAAGCTGAGCCAGGAGAGTCGTAAGTTCGAGCCCAGCCTGGACACTTAGTAAGAGCTTGTCTCAAAAAAAATTTAAAAAGGACTGGAAACATAGCTCAGTGCAAAGGCCCGGTGTTTACCTGCAAAGATAATAAGCAGTCAGGTAAAGTGATGCACAGGGCAAGGTCTGCAAGGGTCCCAAGTATGGGACCCTAACTCTTCATTTCTCTCAGTCACATGTGCTCGTGTCTCCTCCGTACACTTACGGTCACATGGAGAGATGGTGCAAGGACCTCAGGGAATTTGATGCAATCAGGATGTGCTACCTCCTGGCACATGACCCTGTCCTATTGGATTTTTTATTTTATTTCATTTATTTACTTATTTTTTGAGATAGGGCCTCATTGTATAGTACAGGCTGCCCTTGAACTCACTTATGTACCCCGGGCTGGCCTTGAGCTCATGGCGATTCTCCTGCCTCAGCCTCCTGAGTGCTGGGATGACAGGTGTGCACCACCATGCCTGGCTCCTTTTTGGGGTTTTAGGGAGATTCCCTTGCCATGGGCATGGCTGAAGCATGGACAAGTATGTAGAAATGGGATTGGACAAAAAAGGTCTGCTCTGGTGCTAATAGACCCTGGGGGTATAACCAGCAAGGCCTCTCTGTTCAGATTCTTGTCCTGTCTAGGCAGTGGGCTGCTCTCCTGGATGTGGGGCAGGACCCCTGTGAGGCAGGGGTCATGGTCTAGCAGACAAGGTAGCTCAGGGAATTTCCAGCTCCAGGACAGAAAGGTGGGGAGAATTAGTGTACCTGATGCATCTTGGGTAGAAAAGTTCCAGCCAGGGTAAAGATCCATAAACCAAATAGAAGTGAAATGCTTTTAAAGAAAGATAGAAAAACTCTGTGTCCAGCCTTGGGGAGTAGGAGAAAGCTAGAGATCTTGCTTTCAGAGGCTGCAAAGAAGAACTGCCTGTCCCCATCATTCCCCTCGAGCTATCCCAAAGCTGCTTCAGCAACTAAGGACAAGCGGCCAGAATACTTTAACAAGGGATACACTTATTGCCTAGGCATCCAGGAAGTAACATGAACTAAGGGAGTCAGAAGCCAGGAACCATCACATCAAAAGTATGTGTTATTTCCCTGCCTGGTGGGACAAGGCTTTTGCTTACTCGAGGGCGTGACCAGTAGGAGTCCCGCAGGGCCCTTGGCCTTGGCTCTGTACACCAGGCCTGCATGGGCCTTTGTTGAGCTGTGTGGTGTGGGCTGGTGAACAGCATCCTTGCCCTGTCCCCACTGGATGCCGGTGGCCCTCTCGATGTGACAGTCATGGCTGTCTTCAGACCTCCCAGTGTTGCTGGGGCAGCCTCGTCCCCGGTGAGCTGCTGAGTTAGGCTGGTGATGGGAGACGGGTGACCTCTGCACCCAGCGGGCTTAGCCCTGGGTGCTGGGGCCACCGGCGGGCTGTGTCTTACAGACGGTGGCAGTGGGCCAAGAGGACAGTGGGTGTCCAGAATGGGCCAGGCAGGTGGAATGCAGCCCAGGCGGAGGAGCTGTGACCAATGCCAGGCTGCCTTTGGCTTTGCTGCTGCCAGCTGTCATTATATGGACCAGTTCTGGCACAAGTGACACAAGTAGATCTAGGAACAGAGAGGTTTTCTGTGGTGGGGAGGGAGGGGGTCCAGGGAAGCAGGGGCACTGTGTAGCAGTTGGAGCAGTGCGGACCAGTGAGAGGACTGGGGGGGGGGGCATTAAAGAGGCTGTGTTAGAAGAAGCCGGGGTTGCTCAGCATCTCCTGTGGAAGACAGGGCAGTATCAGGAAGTGTGTCTTAGGGGCGGATGTGTTCCTTTTTTTTTTTTTTTTTTTTTTTTTGAGACAGGGTATCACTTTGTAGTGCAGGCTGGCCTTAAGCTCACCTTGTAGCCCAGGCTGGCTTCCAACTCACAGCGATCCTCCTGCCTCGGCCTCCTGGGTGCTGGGATTACATGTGTGCCGCACCACACCCAGCTCATTTTAGATGTGCTTGTCTGAAGTGCTGGAAACTCCTGACAGGAGACCTGGGAGATGGCACAGCTGAGGGACCAGGATCACCTTTCCCCAAGCCCCATGCTCTATAGGTCCTTTAAGACCCCCCCAGCCCCTCTCTGAATGGCCGGAGCCAGTTACCTGAGCCCTTCGGCAGCGGGCTGCATTCGTGTCGGCGCGTATTGCTGTCACGTTTGTCCTCCCGCTGGGGCCTGTATTGGGGACCATGGAGTGGGTGGACTTGTGGGTGCCACGAGCCAGCACTGAGCCAGAGAAGAGGTGGGCGACAGGAGGCTGGGCCTGACGGGCCTGATCTGGAGGGTGGGTGGAGCTCGAGGGAGGGGCCACAGCAGAGGAGGCAGTGGGAATTGCAGCCCTCAGTGTGTGGGGAGTAAGGAGGACCTCATCCCGGAGGTGTCATGTCACCCATGCACCCCGGACTTGGGGGCCAGTGGCCTAGGGTTGAATCCATCGTGCCTCGACATAGCTGTGACCTCATCTCCCTGTGCCTCCGTACCCTTGTGGGAAAGATGGGCCTGGGGCCTGGAGATAACAGGAGAGTTGGCACAAGGAGAAGGCTCTGAGCAGATCCTGGCTCTAGGGCAGGGAGTGTCTGTGCTGGCTGGGACTTCTGCTGTCAGAACTGGTTTGGGCTGCCTCCTGGGAAGGCCAAGGAACAGGGATGCCCCTTCCCTACTGTGGCGCATGCTCAGCTGTGTTGCTGCTCCCTGGCAGCTGTGCCCAAAGGGCCAGCCTGCATTCTGGCTGGGTTCAGTCAGTGTTTACTGAATGAAAATAACACGCCGTGCTGTGCACCCTGCTCGAGGAACAGGGTGAACAGACGATGAGGCCCATTTGTTTTTTTGTTTTGTTTTGTTTTGTTTTTTCCGGTACCAGCAATCAAACTCATGACCTTGCGCTTGCCAGGCAGGCGCTGTGCCGCTGAGCTAAATCCCCAGCCCCGATGAGGCCCATTTGGGCACATAATGCAGGACAGACAGCAGGCAGACAGATGAATCTCAGCTTGTCTTCCTTCAAGAATTTTCTGCCAGTGCAGTGGTATGCACCTATAATCCCCACTACCTCGGAAGGCTGAGGCCCGAGGATGGCAAGTTTGAGGCCAGCCTGCGCCACTTGGTGAGACCTTGTCTCAAAATTAAAACAGCTGTGGATGGAGATCAGTGGTAGAGCACTTGCCTAGCATGCCCAAGGCCCTGGGTTCAGTCCCTAATACAAAAAAAAAATTTATTTCCTGAAAATTCATAAAGGTGATATTGTATCATTTCAGACATGGGCCGTGAGCCCTCACGAAGCTGGTACAGGTGCCACTGTGTTTAACTGTGTCTGATCATTACCACAGAATACCCTGGGCCAGATGTCGCAAGGCCTACTTTGCACGAGGGAAAAATAAGCAGTCCCTAGATGCTGTGGAAAAAGCAGCGTTCTTTGTGACACTAGATGAAACTGAGCAAGGATACAGAAAGGAAGATCCGGAAGCATCCATGGACAGCTATGCCAAGTCCCTCCTGCACGGCCAGTGTTATGACAGGTACCACCCTTTCCTTTCCAAAGGTGGGAGTTTGCTCGCTGTGTGACGGATGTCCACCCCCAGGTATCTTTGCAGTTGAGGAACAAGCTTAGCATGAAAATAACTTTTCACTTTCTTCCCTCTATCCAAACTGTCACACATACAAATTGAGTCAAGCATCTCTGAGATTCTTCCTTTGCTGGGCCCAATTACCTCTCCTTGGAGATGCTGAGATGTAGTGGCCTCCGGGTACCTGGTCCCGGGCGGAAGGTGGCAGACAGGGTCGGACATGGGTTTAGGCCTGGGAATCAGCTTTGGCCTTGCTCTTGGTCACAGGCTGGTGCCCGCTGAGGGACTCCCTTTGCTCACTGTAAGGTGAGGGTCCCCTCCCCTTCAGGCTGCAGACCCTGACCACCTGGTGCTGCTACGCTGCTTGTGCCAGCTGGGACAGCCTCTGCTCTCCCCAGCTGCCTTGTGTTCCAGAGACTTGTCCTACTCTGGTTCCCAGAACATACGTGCTCATCTTCGTGTCTGACACAGAAGGAATGAATGACTCCGTGTCCAAAGACCGCGGCCTTTCCTGAGGGAAACAGATTCGCTTCGGGCCATTCCTGTTCGATTGTGAAGTTTCATGATCACATTTGTTTCTCATAGGTGGTTTGACAAGTCCCTCACGTATATTGTCTTCAAGAATGGCAAGATAGGCATGAACGCAGAGCACTCCTGGGCGGATGCGCCCATCGTGGCCCACCTTTGGGAGGTGAGTGATCCTGCCGTCGCTGAGGGCGGAAACTGGGCTGACTTTCACTGGGTATTGATTCTAGACTATGACTTCTTTTTTTTTTTTTTTTTTTTGGTTTGGGTCCAGTACCGGGAATCGAGCTCACAACCTTGTGCTTGCCAGGCAGGCGCTGTGCCGCTGAGCTAAATCCCCAGCCCTAGAATATGACTTCTTAACACATGTGCTATTGTGTATAAAGTTACATCACTAAGGAAAAGCATCAACTGAGGGCTCGTTTCCTGTCCCTTAAGACCCCGAAGGAGTGGCACATATATTGCCACCTCCTTTCAGAGGCCACTGTCACCAAGTGGCTGTCAGCTCTTGTGCAACACCTTTAGGGCAGAAGGGAACGCAGCTTGTTCTGAAATAATCACCTTATTCCCGGATTTCCTAAGTTTTTTTCTGCCCACCTGGTTTTGGGCAAAACAGAAGCAAACTTGTTAAAATCTCAGTTTATAAAAAGGCAATATATCTTACTGAAAACATCATTTTATTTTATTTGTTTATTTTTTTTTTTTCCCGGTACCGGGAATCGAACTCACGACCTTGCGCTTGCCAGGCAGGCACTGTGCCGCTGAGCTAAATCCCCAGCCCAAAAACATCATTTTAATTCTTAAAATTAACAAGTTATTTAAAAACATGAAACCTCTGTTATCTTTTTTTTTCCTTTGTAGTAAAGGGAATTGAACACAGGATCCACATATGCTAGGCAAGCACTCTACCGCTAAGCTACACCCCCAGCCCAATTTTTAATTTTATTTTGAGACAAGGTCTCACTAAGTTGCCCAGGTTGATCTCAACTTTTGATCCTCCTGCCTCAGCCTCCCAAGGAGCTAGGATTGCAGGTGTGCACACCCATGCCTGGTTCAAACACCTATTACCCTTTCTCCAACTCAGCATTTGAAAATATAGGGCTAGGAGGTAGGTATAGCCTAGTAGTAGAGACCCCAAGTTCAATCCCCAGCACTAAAAAAAAGAAAAGAGAAAAGAAAAAAAAAAAATGCAGTGTGGATTGACTTCTACCACTATTTATTTTTTAATTTACCTACTCTCTGAACTGTTTGAACTGTTTCCTGTTTGGCATGAAAATCTAAATGAAGATTTTGCTTCTTTAACTCACCTGTCAAGTTCTTGTTTAAGGCAATTGCCAAAGTCCAGAATTAATAGCAGCGGACTTGGCACAGAAAGTTCTATGTTTACTCGTTTAGATGAAACTTGCTAGTTATTTTGAAAGCAACAAGCCCCCTTGAGATTCACATTGAATATAAAACTACCTTTTTGCAGTCTTTATTTCTCTGCTGCTCTAAGAGAGGAAGCAGAATAAAATGAAAGTCAGAGCCTGGGTGTGAGTGAGAGCTGGGGGCCTGGGGGTGCATCCCCTCCCCCTCTGCATAGCCCCAGTGCAGAGCCAGGTGTCTGTGTCTGAAATTCCCACAGTAAACTTGAGAAGGAATCTGAGGACACAATGGGGTAGATGTTCTTTATCTAAAATGAGGCCAGACTCAGATTTGGGAATGCTTGTGTATACTTTACTATGGGTTGAGCATAGTTGCTGAACTCTGAAATGATCAGAAATCTGACTGTCTTTGAACACCAACATGATGCACTAAAAATTTCAGATTTTGGAGCAGTTTGGATTTTGGATTTTCAGATTAGGGATGCTCAACCTGTATCTCGTTCTTTTTTCTCCACACACCTGTAAAGGCTTTGAGTTGGGGTGCTTCTTCTTCTTCTTCTTCCTCTTCTTCCTCCTCCTCTTCCTCTTCTTCTTCTTCTTCCTCTTCTACCCTTTCCCCTTCCCCTTCCCCTTCCCCTTCTCCTTCTCCTTCTCCTTCTTTTGAGACAGGATCTTGCTGCACAGTTCAAAGTGACCTTGAACTCACTATGTATCCCAGGATGGCCTCAAACTCATGCAACCCTCCTGTCTCAGCCTCCCGAGTGCTGTGATTACAGGTGTACCTCACCTTGCCTGGCTCTGTGCTTCTTTTTACAATGTTGTGTCAGTGCATTTTTTTCTGTGGAGCTCTATGGTCTTAAGAGCAGGTGTCCTGTCTCTCGGGGCCTCACCCGCGCCGTCCTCTGCCTGGAGGGGTGGGGTCTTCCTGTGGGTCTCAGGTGACCCCATCTACTCTGGGTCTGATTCTCTCTCAAGGCCAGGGGAGGAGCTTCTATCTCACTGTTCACCTTCTTTTTTTTTTTTTTTTTCTGGTACCGGGAATTGAACTCACGACCTGGTGCTTGCTAGGCAGGTGCTGTGCCACTGAGCTAAATCCCCAGCCCTACTGTTCACCTTCTTGACTATCTCACTTCTGGTTTGGATCTTGGCAAAGCCCCGACAGCTGTTCTTTGGGTGGAAGAAGGTTTTCTATAAGGGAAAAGGGTAAAAAGGAAAATACGAAGCTCTGCAGCCTTTAAGACCTTGATGTGGTCCCAAGACATTAACAGGTGATAAAAGCAGCCATGGCTCCTGGCCACGCTGGGTCCTTTGCTGATGCGGACAGAGGCTTAGCAAGTGAGCATTTCTGCTCCAGAGACAGCAGAGATCAAGCTTCGTGCATCTGGACGCAGCAGCAGGTGCAGGCACAAGATGGTTACACACTGTTCTGAGAACATCCTGAATAATACATGCCCGAGAGCTGTTCGGTAAATGGAGACTCTGAATCCCAGGCCAGGCACATTTATCAAAGTGAGAAATCTAGGGCTATGTGCAGGATCAAGCTGTCTGGCTGGGTGTGGCGGCGCATGCCTGTAATCCCAGCACTCAGGAGGCTGGGGCAAGAGGACTGTTGTGAGTTTGAGGCCAGCCTGGACTATAAAGTGAGCTCAAGCCCAGCCTGAACTGCATAGCTAAACCCTGTCTCAAAAAAAAGACAAAAAAAAAGTATTCTGAATAAGATAAGGATAAAGGGATTTATTCTTAGATGAAGGTAACCGATTAGAAGTGGTGCTTAGGTGTTACTGTCCAGCTGATGGAGGGCCTGGTGCTCCAGAGACATAGGGTGGAGCCCAGGACCTGTGCATGTGGTGGGGGCTGACCTGGTCTCCCCTCCTGGGGTCTTGTACCACATTGAAATAGGACTGATACGGGATGGGATGCCAGCTAGAAGCAGGTCCAATTGAGGTAAGAGCCCACTAGTTGTTGGTGCTTTCTGGACATTTGTGTGCCAGCTTGCTTGTTGGTATACTTCACTTCGTGGAGTGCACATCTAGGAGTATAACTGCTTGATTGTTTGGATGTTTCATTCCTTGAGGAAGGGCAGAAATCCCTGTGTGTGTTGTCAGAAAATGGTGTTCACATTATGCGGTCCCTGCCTGCCGTGCCTCATGTTGCTGTACTGGCTGTAGCAGGTGCCTAGTGCGTCCCAGGAGGACATGGCCTTGCCTCACTGAAGCCCGGCTTCTCACATGCATGTGTGGGTTGGCGGTTGGTACCCCCAGGCTGGACATGTGCAGTCCAAGGATGGTGGCATCGAGAGTCCAGGCCTAGAAGTAGGCCCTGAGCACCTTGGAGTGGGCACCAGAGCAAAGCCTAGCTCTGCTCCTGACCCATTGTGTGACCTTGAGAGGGCTGCTGACCTCAGCTGCCTGCTTTCTCACCTCCAGCACGGACTGGACGCACTTGCCGGTGTCTGTGTGAGGACGCCATGTGCCAGGCGTCTTATAATCACACAGTAAGTGGGTGGTGGTGGTCTGGTCTTGAGGTAGCTCTGTAAAGGACAAGGCTTTGTCCTCCTCAGAGGCCACCTATTTCATGTGACACTACTGGCTGTAATCTCTGGGCTCATGTGTTTGGTCTTTGTCCCTGTTTCCTGGCACACAACTCCCAAAACCCTCGGAACCCTCCGAGTGATAATGTCTTTTGGGTGCAAATGATTGGCTGGCATTGGAGTCCCCCAGGTGGCTTGAGAATGGGCCTGGTGACAGGAAAGTCCAAGGCAGGGCTAGAGGGTTCTGTCAGTCCCAATCGTAACCTCCAGGGAGGGCTGCCGGGCCAAAGGTTGAGTTGGTCACCAGTGGCCAGTTACGTAATTAGCAATGCTGCCAGCATGATGTTTCCACAGAAGACAAAAGCACAGGGTTTGGGGAGCTCCCAGACCCCCGAATCCAGGGAGGTGGCTGGAGGTTGGGGCACCTGGGGACCACATTTCTCTTCACCCTGTGCCTCTCTATCCTTTGGGACAAACTTTGTAATACACCAGAAATGTAAGCTGGTGCTTGCCAGATTTGTATGAGGTGCTTTAGGGAATTAATCAGACCCTGGGAGGGAGTTATGGAAACCCCAATTTGTAGTAGCTGGTCAGCAGCTTGGGTCACAGAAGGGGCTTGCGCCTGGCACCAGAAGTAGTGGGGAAGGCCTTGTGGGAGGGAGGTAGCTGTGATCCATGCAGAATGTGTTCCTGCCTAGTGTGTGGAAACCCCTGTGTTCAGCCCAGAGGTATTTATTCTGTGTGGAAGGCGCAGTAGGAGAAGCCGAGTTTGGGTTTTCCATTCAATTTGTGTTTTCTTGTATTTCACAGGAAATCATGGCCACAGACTGGTTTCAGCTGGGCTACGAGGAGGACGGACATTGTAAAGGGAACACCAACCCCAACATCCCCTACCCCACCAGGCTACAGTGGGACATCCCAGAAGCGGTCAGTCCCAGTGACTCAACGATCGTCACTGCCTCAGGCACTTTCTCATTACTGAGATCAGTACTGGAAACCCAATTCTTGACTTAGAGAAGGGTTTATTTGGACTAGCAGGGGTTTTTTGTGGGGTTTTTTGTCTTTTTGAGACAGGGTCTTGCTATACAGTTCAGGCTGGCCTTGAGCTCATTTTGTAGCCCAGGCTGGTCTCGAACTGGCAACGATCCTCCTGCGTCAGCCTCCCGAGTGCTGGGATTATAGGCGTGCACCACCACATCCAGCTTAGACTAGTAGTTTTTAGAGAATTGAGTTATTGGTTGGCTGGCTCCAAGGCAGGACGGGTAGCAGGATCCAAGGGTGGAAGGGCCTGACAGAGGAGAACTGTTCACGTCATAGCAGCCAGAAAGCAGAGCAAAGGGAGGAGCAGGGGAGGAACATCACCCTTCCAGGTCGTCCCCAGAAGTGCTCCTCTTCTGAGCAGGCCATTCCTTCTAACAGCACCTTCAGCTCTGAACCCAAGATCCAGCTTCAAAAAGCCCCACCTCTGAACTTTTGAGGGGCATTCTAGATGTAAACCCCAACAGTGACTTATCCCCTTGGGAAACAATTTGGAACTCCCACTGCCAGATCATCCGGCAGTACGTCCTGAGTGTTCCCAAGCTCTGCTGAGGCCCACAGAATGTGAAAGCCGTTCCCTCGGGGCTGCTGCGGGTGCCCCAGTAGATACCTCCTGCATTTAAAGCTTTTGGCCAAGATGGCAGTGTTCCAGCTTGGATGTACCTGGACATCTGTAAACTCTTCACAGCAAAGAGTAAAAACCCAAATCTCAAAGGGTCAAAATACTCTATAAACAGCTAATTTATAATCTACGCAATGCAATGAACCTTTGTTCCCTTAAACATTCTGGGGCACAGTCCACTCAGCAGAAGCCCTTGGGGAAGGAAACACCAGGCGCAGCTCATCTGATCACGCAGGAATCCCTGGGCCTCAGAAGTTATTTTCATGTGGTCCTGCTGTGCTATAACCCTAGGGCCTGCTCGGGGTCCAGGGACAGGCTGACTTCTGGCAATGCCAGGCTCACGGTCCTAGGAGTCCACCAGGGCACTCCCTGTGCATTACAAACATTTTTCCAAAGAGACTTTACTTTTTGGAGCAGAACTGGTAGAATTGAGGAAGGTGCAGAGATTTCCCATATTTCCTCTCCCCTTCGCCATCCCCCTGGTGCTCTCCCCGGTTACCAACACTCTGGGGGCACCAGAGTGGCACATTGTGACAGCCTGTGAGGCTTCACTCAGTCTGTGGCTTACATTGGGGCCACTCCTGGGGGTGGGGGGTGCAGTCTATGTAATAGCCTCCGTCTACCATCAGCATTATCCAGGGTAGTATCCCTTCCCTGCGTATCCTCTGTGCCCCTCCCCCCCCTGCTGATCACTGGTCTCTCTGTCCCCAGAAGTTGCATATCAAGAAGTGTGGAGCTTTTCTGGCAGCTTCCTTCATCCAGCAGTGTGTGTTTCAGCTTCCTTTATGTCTTCATGGCTCTATTAGGATTTTTTTTTAGTGTGGAATAGTATTCCACTGTATGGCTGTCCTTTTACTTTCTTTTTTTTTTTTTTTTTTTTGATACCGGGAATCAAACTCAGGATCCTATCTTGAGCTTGCCAGGCAGGAACTTGTGCCGCTGAGCTATATCCCTGGCCCCCGTCCTTTTACTTTCTAAAGGTTGTTCCTCCACTGCCACTGTGTAGTAACAGTGGGCTTCATAAAACAAACCCTTGATTATTTGAAGTGCCCCTTGGGACCTCCCTGGGAGCCAGGACTCCTTCTGTGTTCCTGCGGCTTGGGTCCCATGCTGCTCTGGGGTGGGTGAAGGGCGCCGTGTCGCTGACTTTCTGGAGCTCCTGGATAATGTTTTCTTCTGGAGAGTCCACATTTCCTTTCGCTGAGGAGCACCTTTCTTTCCCTCCTCTCCCCAGTGCCAGGAGGTGATAGAGACCTCCCTGAGCGCCGCGAACCTTTTGGCGAACAATGTGGACATGAATTCTTTCCCGTTCCATACCTTTGGGAAAGGACTCATCAAGAAGTGCCGGACCAGCCCGGATGCGTTCATCCAGCTTGCCCTGCAGCTGGCTCACTATAAGGTAGGAGCCAAGAGCTAGGATTCTGTCGGGGTACTTCTGGGGTCCTACGCACACACCAAGGCTGCAGTGGGTGGAGGAGGCCTGAAGCCTAGCACAGGAGAGTGGCTGCCGGCATGGAAAGCACAGCCTTCCAAAGATCGAGGCGGTGCTGCAGCTTGGAACATTACTGCCAGACAACCAAGTGCAAGTTCAGCGGAGTCCCTTTTGGACAGCGGTGGGTTCTTGTTTGAGAGGGAAAGTTTGAGGGGTGGAGCAGATTAAGATCTTACTACCCTACAAAGGGGAGAGAGTTATACTGTATCACAAGCCCCAAATCCTAGAATGTGGGAGAGTAGACCTATTTAGGACAAATTACTTTATGTGTCTGACCTCCCTTGAAAGGGGAAACCACCAGCTGCCTGGCAGTGCTCTGGACTCGGCAACATCCCTGCGTGCCAGGCTGCCAGGCTGCAGGCTGCATGGCATTTCCACCCCTTTTCTCCCACCCCAAGGGTGTCCACCCCAGGGGGGCCCTAGACAGCAGGATGGTGTTGAGTTGTGGCTTCAGTTCAAGCCGTGCTCCCTGCCCCATAGTACTAGGGATTGAACCCATGGCCTCTGCACTGACCTGCATCCCCACCCCATTTTTTATTCTGAGACAAGGTCTTGCTGAGTTGCCCAGCCTGGGCTCTGACATGCTGTCCTCCTGCACCAGCCTCCCAGAGTACTGGGGTTACAGGTGTGTGTCACCACACTCAGCTGTGTGCCTATTTTTGTTTGTTTTTGGCTTTTTGAGATAGGGTCTCAGGCTGGTCTTGGATTCACTGTGTAACTCAGGCTGGCCTCAAACTCATGGCAATCCTCCTGCCTCATTCTCCCAAGTGCTAGGATTACAGGCATTTGCCGCCATGGCTGACAGTGCCCTGTTTTGTTTTGTTTTTCCTTAAGGGGCTGTTTTATTCTTTTTTGGTACCAGGAATCAAACTCAGGGCCTTGTGCTTGTCAGGAAGGTGCTGTGCCACTGAGCTACATCCCAGCCTAACAGTGTCCTGGTTTGGGGGAATTTTGGGGGGGGGATTATAGGCATATGCCACCATGGCTGACAGTACTGTTTTTTGTTTTTTGTTTTTTTCTCAAGGGGCTTTTAAATTCTTTTTTGGTACCAGGAATTGAATCAGGACCTTGTGATTGCCAGGCAAGCGCTGCACCACTGAGCTACATCCTCACCCCACGGTGTCCTGGTTTTTTTTTGTTTGTTTGTTTTTTGTTTTTGTCTTTTCTTCCGGTACCAAGAATCAAACTCACGACCTTGCGCTTGCCAGGCAGGCGCTTTGCCGCTGAGCTAAATCCCCAGCCCCCAGTGTCCTGTTTTTAACTGGAATCTTACACTGTAAAGTGTGAGGGGTATGCCCATGTGACGTCTGTGGGGACAGTGATTCCATTGCTGAGTCTGGCTGGGGTCTGGGTGCTTCGCACCCTTCATGCCTTGTGGTCTCTCTGCAGGGGGCACTTTTGTTCTTCCACTTTACAGGTGAGGGACCTGAGGCAAGAAGGGTCAGGTGACTTGGTAAGGTGACACCACACAGCAAGAAAAAAGCTGGAGGCAGATCCAGACTCTGAGCTTAGAAGCTTGACTTGAACTAGTAAAGAAAATGAGCAAGTACAGGAAAGTAAAAGAAACCTCAAACAACAGAAGGTCAGAACTGATGACCACAGAGTGCTTCATCAGATCATGGCGGTCATGAAGCTTAGGGCTGGGCTTAGCCCATTGGTGGATGCTTTCCTGGCATGTGTGAGGTCCGTGTTCCATCCCTAGCAATGAAAAAAAAAATACAATCACGAAGGTTAATGCTTCTAAATAACACGCTCATTGAAATGCGTACACTGGCGCAGTTAGATGGAGCACGGTAATGGTAGGGACTAGTACATTCACTTTAACAGCATGGAGTTGAGATGTGAATCTTAGCATTAATAAACTTGAACTTAAGAACTGGTGAGAAAACTTTGCAGTTGCTCTACACTGAGACCCCAACAGGAGGTGACGCCTCTGCTGCAGAGAACACTGGGCTCCGTCTTAGCGCCACCCCAACCTGTGCTCTGTGGCACAGCGGGAGAAAAGGACCTTAAATTAATGAGCACTGAATGTAGCAGCCCTGCTTTCCTGCACCTCTCGTGCTGCTTCACAGGCCCCGAGCCAGCACCTGCCCTGTCCCAGCTCCCAGCGGGTCACCCTTCTTCTCTTTCAACCAGGGGACAGGGGCTGTCCTGAGGGGCCTTCTACATGCACCCACCAGCCCGTGGCTGCTTCCTCCTGTCAGGGGGCTCCTGGCTGCACTTCCTGCCCTCCCACTGAAGGACATCCCTCTGTTCTGTCCCTCCGCCGTTCTCATTTCCTGTGCGGCACCTTGTGCCCCCCTCTCCTGGCAGATCTTGTGCATGGTGTCCCTCCCCTCAGGGAGGGCAGCACAGAGAGCACTCAGTCAAGTTGTGTGCGACCTTTTATCCTGGCATCAGCTGCATCTTGAAATGAAACAGAAACCTGGGTCGCCCAGATACTGACCCCATCTCCCCCTAGCCCTTCCCGAAGCCAGTGATACCTCTCTTGTCACCCGCTGACCACACAGAGAGGCCCTGTCTCCCTGTAGACTCAGCCACCGTGCCACTTGCCTGTGGTCCCCTCGCTGCACCCTGCCTGCTGCTAAGATGTGTTCTCTTTCCCAGGACATGGGCAAGTTCTGCCTCACATACGAGGCCTCCATGACCCGGCTCTTCCGAGAGGGGAGGACCGAGACTGTGCGCTCCTGCACCATGGAGTCCTGCAACTTCGTGCTGGCCATGGTGGACCCCACCCAGACGGTAGGTGTCTGCAACAAGGACACAGCCGAGCATATTCTCCTCAGGGTACTCCTGTGTATCATACGAGTCCTGCCTGCCCCAGCTGCTTCCTTGCTGTTGCAAGGGTACAGAAAGTATTAAGAGCTGAGGGTGGTAATACTGCAGACATTCTTTTATACACGGTGCTTCTGGACATCGGCTTATGCATCCTAAAGAGTCTTTCTGTTAGAATGGACGAAGCAGAGGGATGGAAGAGTCAAACTGTCAGCATGAGAACATGGCGGCTGTCACATGGGATCCTTGCATACGTGGCTGTTAGCCTTGCCGGAGCCCAGTGTGCCCGGCTGGGGCTGGGGTTTCTCTCACAATGCCAGCAGGAGCCCTGTGAAGTAAAAGAACAGACTCTGATGAATTCTGCCACCTGCTGGGTGCCTGACTGGCAAGTGGCTGGGGTCAGGTCTGTGCCTGGGATTCTCACCCCACAAGGCAGATACTTTCCTGTGGCAGGCTGGGAGACCTGGATCGGGGCTTTCTGGCTGTCTGCCCAACTTCATTGTGGAAAGATCCTCACTTCTGAGGAAAGAAGCCAGCTGGGCTCAGACAGGTGGTTCTGCATATCCATCGTTGGAAGCCTTCAGGAAGAGCCTGGAAGGCCAGGGCTTGCTGGGCGGGTCATAGCCTTCCCAGACCCCCATGTAAAGGGCACTGTGTTGCCCCATTTGCAGAACCCAGAAGAACCTTTTGGGGTCCCATCTAGAGGCCTGAGCTCAGGAGCACTATTTTAGCATAATTGCTAGCCAGATCCAAGGTGACCTGAGGGACTGGGCCTCTCCTCTGACATGGAGAACACACATCCTGCCTGCTTCTGTGTCATAGATGAGGCGACACAAGGGACCCTGAAAATGCTTTGCTGACAGACATACCCTGTAGCCCTCTGAAGGCAGGAATCGGGATGGGGTGGCTGGTTGGTGGGTTTCTGGAAGGATGCTTTGTCTACTGCCCACCCTGGCACATCTCATGGGGGCCCCATTGCCAGCGCTCTATCAGGGAGCTAGAGCTATCACCCTTCATTGGAAACATGGATCCATACCACACAACCCAAAATGTCCAACACATGTCCTTTCTGACCTTTGTCCCTTAGGTTGAACAGAAGCTCAAATTGTTCAAGGCAGCATGTGAGAAGCATCAGCTCCTGTACCGCCTGGCCATGACTGGTGCTGGCATCGACCGCCATCTCTTCTGCCTCTACGTGGTCTCCAAGTACCTTGCTGTGGAGTCCCCTTTCCTGAAAGAGGTCAGCTGTCTTCTGGGACAGAGCCCAGTGACTTAGCACACAGCCTTTGGGTGGAGCTGTCACAAAAATGGGAAGATTTGAACTGCAGCTGTAGTACTGCATTTCTTCAATGACTTGCAATGCTTTGCTGTCACATTCACCCTCTGGACTTAATAGATGTGAACAAGCACACAAGCTTAGATGACAATGAGTTAGGAAGGGAGGTCTAAGTATCTATCACTTTTTGTTTTTGTCTTAGTTACTTTTCTGTCATTGCTGAGACAAAATCCTCAACCCCTAAAGTTAAAGGGGGAAAAGTTTATTTAGTTCATGGTTTGTAGAAGTTTCAGTCCATAATCAGCTGGCTCCAAGGCAGAGTGGCACCCGGTAGGCATCGAAGAGGAGAAACAGTTCATGGTGGGCAGAAGGCAGCAAAGCAACAGGGACAATCACAGCTCTTTCTATCCCTTATGTCTTACAGCAGATGGGGGGGTAGCACTCACACCCTTAATCCTAATGCCCTTGAGCCTAGCGTTGTACCGTGAATCAATTCCAGAGTCACACACTCCAGATTCAACCACCTCCTATGACCATATGTGGCTTTGGGGGGACATCTAGACACAAGCCAAAGGCATAATAGTTTTTGTTTTGTTACTGTACTTTTGAGACAAGTTCTGGTCAGTAGCCCAGGCTGACCTTGAACTCACACTTCTCCTGCCTCCTGAGTGTTGGCATTATAGGCATATGCCACCATGCCCCCGCTTTAATCACCTTTGTTTATAATATGGTTTATTTCATAGTATATTTATATAATTTAATATTTAAAAATGGTTGTATTTGATAACTACCTTGGAAAAGATCCCTGAGAATTTAGCAGTTGGTTCCTAGGAGCTGGTACAATGATGCCACCGCCCCCATTCCAAATCATAACAAAACACATCTGCCGCCTTCTCTGTCAGAGACGCTATGTGGCACCTTTGCCCCAATCCAGGCCTGCCCCCACTGCAGCCTTTCTGCACATGTACTGTTCCAAGCCAGCGAGGCCTTTGGGAACACAGACTTCTGGTGTTCTTTTAACCCAGACAGGCCTTTTCTTGTCTTCCCAAGGTGAGGTCCTCAGGACAGAAGAGTTGAGGAAAGTGTCATTTCAACATTTCCTTTCCTTAGTCCTTCCTTTTCTTCTTCTTTCATTTTTGCATTACTGGGAATTGAACCCAGGGCCTTCACTCTGAACTAAACATTTTATTTTGAGACAGGGTCTCACTATGTCACTAAGATATCCAGACTGGGCTCAAACTTGTGATCCTCCTGCTTCAGCCTCCCGAATACAGGCATTATAGGTGTGCACTGCCATACCTAGCTTCATTTCCTGTTTAATTCACCAGGTTTTATCCGAGCCTTGGCGATTGTCTACAAGCCAGACCCCGCAGCAGCAGGTGGAGCTCTTTGATTTCTCGAAGTACCCGAACTACGTGTCTGGTGGAGGGGGCTTTGGACCGGTAAGTGCAGCCAGGGGCTGTGATCGATGGTCACAGGGAGACCTGCTGGGCTTGCTCTCTGATGATCTACGTAAAATTCCTGGTTCTGCAGGTTGCTGATGATGGCTACGGTGTGTCATACATCATCGTGGGAGAGCACTTCATCCACTTTCACATTTCTTCCAAATTCTCCAGCCCTGAGACAGTAAGTTTGAAAAAAATTTCTTTTTCTAATGATGGAGTATTTTTACTTTTGAAGGAAGTACATAGTTAATTTATCAGAAATTTTCAGTTCATTGATCTACATACATGTACTGTATTTGGATATTTTCAAAATTCTCTTAACCTCATTTTAGAGAAATATATTTCCTTTGGCTTCACCTGCTTACCTTTGCTGGGAGGAGTGATTTGAACTCTTAATCTTCATGTACTTCTGTAACTTTCAAACTCTGTAACTTTTGGGAGGCGGACAGAGAGTAGTGTGCACATGCCAAAACTGTCACGATAGAGCAGGGAATCCGTGGTGTCCTTCATGGATGGGACAAGCAACCTCCTTCCTTACACGGTGCACTTTGTCCCTGTTTATATTCTCCTTCCCACTGTGTACATAGCCTGCAAGCAGTGCCAGGTTCACTTTTTAAACTAAAATAAGAGGACTTCGTTAAAGATAAACTTATCAAGAAAGATACAGGTAATGGGGGGAGAGTGCAGGGAAAGGGTCATCACTGGGATGCTAGGATTCACTTCCTCGCTGTGTTTTATGGAATGCAGTGGGTTTGAGGGTCTGCATTCCAACCCTCACCAACCTGTCACCTGTCACCTCCTCATCCTCTGTTTGTTAACCCTTCAGCCAGAGCTTAGAGAATGGGCAGAAAGGCATTTGGATTAAATCCTGAGTCATATTAGAAATGTAATGGCTTGAATGAAACACAGCTATTTCTACATATTAACGTGCTTTGCTTTTTGTTTTTGAATCGAAGGACTCTCACCGCTTCGGGAAGCACCTGAGAGAAGCCATGAGCGACATAATTGCCTTGTTTGGGCTCACAGAGAATTCCAAAAAGTAATTCCCCTGGCACCCCCGTGAAGGGAAACGGACTCTTCTGCAAACCAAATGAAGAATAGATAGTAATCCTGGGTGTAGTTCAGGATGAAAGTTGCTCTTAGAAAAGTCAGAAGTTTTCCTTCCAGAAAGGGCTTGTTGTTTCTGTCTCCCTGGAGTGGTAGGCACACTGTGTGAAGTGCGACCCTACTACCTGTGGGTTGGCCCTGGACATAGCACCCCTTGAGGCTTTGCACCTGCTTGTGCTTATTAAGGGATTAGCATGTTATTGAGTTAATGAAGGAATTAGTGGGGTTGCGGCTTCACATGCATTGGGAATGTAAATGACATGCTTCCTCAGAGGTGACCAAGTACCTGGTACTTACTCGTCACAGCGGGGTAAACTTCTGGCTAATGAAAAAGAAATATTGTTCCTGTTGGCAGTGATAACAGTTGCAGCTAACACACAATGCACTAACTGAAAATGCCGTGCTTGGGGTTTGTCGCTGGGGGTGATGGTCCTCGGTATGGTAGTCTGTGACTGCATCTCCATGCTTGAAGCAGGTTGTAGACCTCAGCCTTAGAGTTCCTAAGCCTGCATGTCTTCAAACCCAGTGCCTTAAAGATGAAGGCCTTCAGGGTGGGGTGGGGGAGGGGCATAGGAAATGTTTATTTTGTGTCAGCTTTGGGTGGAACTGGGGTTGAGGGTTGTTGCTCCCTTCTCAGTTCAGTGAGTATGGCTATCCCTAAGTAAGTGTTTGCTATGGTTCCCCTCCCCTGGAAGGCCAATCCCTCTGCCAGGAGCAGCAATGCTGGGTTCCCCTCCTTGGCCACCCTGTCTGTCATTGTTAGGCAACAGAAGAGATCAGTTATGTCAGAAAGGGGAACAAAGGACGCGATGGCCAGATACTATATATCTGGAGACACGGCTGAGTCATTAAATAGTATGTGTGCCTCAGGATGAATGCATCCCTTGCTGACAATGAGGAGAGGAAGGCCCCGGCCAATAGGACAGCAGCGGAGCTTGAGGGAGGGCAGGTCAGCCTCACCATGGCCTGGAGATGCAGGTCCTGGACACCAGCGGGATTTCCTTCTGATCCCACCTGGTCAGAGAAGACCTGCTTCTGTTTCCAGAGGAGCTGGAGGTGGCTGGAAACAGCAGCTGGGTCCTCTGGGTGACAGACCCAAGTGTTGCAGGTGATGGGTGCTAGGTCCACACAGCCTGTCCTTAGATAGGAGTGCCTTTCTCGAAAGCGCCTGATTGACCACAAAGCAGTTATGCACTGATCATCTTCCATATTTACTGTAGACATAAAGGTCATGGAGTGACATTCCCACTGCCTCTGTCTGGCTTGTCGTGACAAACTTAGCTGTCTGTTTTTTAAACTGTATTTATTTTTCTGACCACTTTGTCCTCGCTGGCTTTGCCCCCACTTCATGCTTTTTTTTGAGGCGGGGAGGGTTCTGGTACCAGGAACCGAACTCATGACCTTGCGCTTGCCAGGCAGGCGCTGTGCCGCTGAACTAAATCCCCAGCCCCTCCCCCTTCATGCTTTTATGCTCTGGTGGAACAAAAGTGTGGGTGGAATATGGGAGTAGATACAAGGCGCTTGCTAATGAACCGATGCATACTTATTTATGTATATTTTGCAGTGTAAAAATCCCACCTAAATGGGCCAAAGATTTTTTTTCCTCTTAAAAGTAAGGAGGAATGAAAACAAATGGGAAAAAAAAAAAAGAAACGACAGTAACATTCCCCCCTAATTTTCTGTGGTGTGCAGTGAGGCAGGTTTGGGGAGAAATCACCCCTTCTTGCCCAGGCCAGGTGTAGCTTCTTAGCCAAGAGGGAGCAGCCAGCAGCAGTTTCTATCCGAGCCAGCTGGAACGTGAAGTAGTGACCACTGAGCAGTTTGTCACCAGGCGTTCACACGTGAATTCGAGTGTAGACACATTAGTGCTCAAATGTGTTTGGGCTTCTTTCTCAGGTTTTATATGTTTCAAATGTAATTGTTGCTAATCAGTGCAGTTATCAATGCAGTTTTATATTCTTTAAAAGAAAGAAGAATGGGTTTTTATTGTACTGTCAAAAGGGGGAGATAGGAGTATTATGTATTTTATTTAATTTGGAACAAATAATTGTCTTAATGCAACCACTGTTTGAATTTGTTACCTTAATCTGTCCTTGGCATGTAAATACCATATGCTCCCTGGATGTAAGTCCTAGAAATGCATGATGTGAATTTAGGTTATCATTAATAAAACATTAATCCCTGTCTACTACAGTATGTTTCTGTCTCCTTTGTTGCACTGATGAGGGGGATTATACATCAGGTATGACCCTGGAGCAGGCAGGGTGGGCATCTCTCTGGGCTCCAGCACTTGGGTGGGAGGAAAAATGTCCAAGTAAAGCCTGCTGATTTGCACTTACATTTCTCTTTTTTTTTTTTTTTGGTTTTTCTCCGGTACCGGGAACCGAACTCACGATCTTGTGCTTGCCAGGCAGGCGCTTTTGCCGCTGAGCTAAATCCCCAGCCCCTGCACTTACATTTCTCTATTCCTTTGCACAATGCTTGGCACATCGTAGGTGCTCAACAAATACTAGTCAAATGATGAATTTTGGTCTTTTTGGTAGATTTCTTGAACACCTGTGCGAGGCACTGGGAATCCACCAGCAGCGCTGCCAGGTTCTGTCTGTGGGCTCCAGTTCTGGGGAGGAGCTAGAAGATAGAGCCAGCCAATGGGAAGGATCTTAGGTACTGGGGAACAAGCAAGAGGATCCTGGAGGCGAGTGGAAGGGCCAAGAAGGCACCTGACTTTTAGAGTGGGTTGAAGACAAGACGGAGCCATCAGAACATCTAGGGATGGGTACAGTGTCTGTGCGCATGTGGCATGATGCTGCTCAGTCAATGCCCAGGTGGAAAGTGAATGTCAGCCCTTGTCAGCTGCCATCTTGCTCAGGGTTTCCTTGGGCTCTGAGTGAGAGCAGCTGCCTTTACATCCCTAAGGTTTAGGAAGCCCCAGCTGGCTTCTCAGGCTTGTGCTGAAATCTGCTAGGATGCACATGGTATGATTATTCCAGCCATAAAATGGGGTTAAGATTATCCCACACACGCGGACACCGGGAAATGAGGGCTGAAAGGCAGTGTGATTGGGGACGGCAGGTTCAGAGAATGGTGGTGTTATCTGTAACATACTTTAGTAGGAGGGTTATGTTATGTATAACCATAGGGAAGGGCTACCCTGATTTTCATCTGAAGAAACCAGTGGAACTTCCTGTGGAATGCCCCACAGATGGAAACAGCACAGGTGCAGAGGGAGTTTTACCAAATTCTGCCCCACGTTGCAGCGCAGGACCAAGAGGCTGGCTTTAAGTCCAATGGATTTGTAAATAATTAGCGGGTTCCCTGGGCTGTGTTTTAGGTGGTTCATATGGTGGGAACACCTCAACAGTGAGAAATTTGTTTGTTGACTAACGATTGAACGGCGAACCTTCTTACTGAGCTACATCCAACAGCCTTTTTTATTTTGAGACAGTGTCTCCCTATGTCACTCAGGCTGGGCTCGAAATGGTGAACTTCCTGGTTCGGTCTTCCGGAATGCTGGGGTTACAAGAGTGCACCGCCACTCCTAAGCACCAGTCTTGAGTTGCTTCCATTCCACCCTCTGGCATCAACGCTCGGAAGAGCATGCGAGGTTGAGAAGGTGGACCCGAAAACCCCTCCTTCTGTCCACTGGCGATGCTTAGTGTTGAGAACTTGAGGTGTAGAAAGGATTATCTTAAAGACTGAGGTCAGATGTCGAGATAGAGTCCTAGCTAGAGCTGCTTCAGACTTCGTGGGGGCCTCAGTTTCCCAATTTGAGTCAGAAGCCCCTGATCCCTGGAGCGCTCCTCCACCCTCCCACGTGTGAAGGCTGGACTCAGGGTCCCGCCCCTCCCATCAGGCCCCGCCCCTGAATAATCCAGACCCGCCCCCATCCAGATACAGGCTCCGCCCCTCTCAGAGGCTCCGCCCCTTCTCCAACAGCCAACGGCCGCTGCGCACGAGGTGTGACCACCTGCCCCACAGGTGGAAGCCGGACGGTTCACTGACTCCGGCCTCGTCGGATTTCCCGCTTCCCCTGAGCAGTCTCCGGGGCTACAGGAGGGGAGAGGGGCGACGGGACCCTTGCCCAGCGGGGGGGTTAACCGGCTCCCCTCACCCGGCCGCTCATTGCAGGTGCGCGGGGCAATGCCCGGCGCCGCGCCCCTGTGCGACCATGGACGAGGCCGCTCTGCTGGGCGCCATGCCCGGCCCCGACGATGAGACGGCCGCCGACCTGTTCGGCCACGAGCGCGCGTCGCAGGCGGAGGGCCCGACCCCGAGCCCGGCCGTGGCGATGCAGCCGGACCAGGACGAGCTGCCGGTGCTCAGGGACGCCTATCTGGGCGTCGTCGCCGCCGGCGAGGAGCCGCCCGCCGCGGAGGACAGCGCGCCGCCGCCCGCCTACAGCCTGCGTGTCCTGTCGTCGCTGCTGCCCGCGCCGCTGGGCGCCGGGGTGCGGGTGATCCCAGTAAGCGGCGACTTCCCGGGGCGCCGCCTCGCGGGGGGGAGTCCCGGGTCACACGGCCGTAGTCACCCACGGGGCAGGGCGCCCCGCCTTTCCCCCTGGGTTCAGAGCTGGGGCTCAGGAGCGGGGGTGTCAGCTCGGGCAGGTGGTCACACCCGCTCTGGGGAAGAAGCCCCGCTTCGTGGCAGCGTGAGAGATTTCAGGTGTTCGCATCATCGAATCTTCTTCGCTCTTGGGTTTTGCTGCTGGGGATGGAGCCCAGGGCCTCGCTCATCCCAGGAAAGCGCTCTACTGCTAGGCTACACCTCCAGCGCAGTTTAGTTTCTTTCTTTCTTTTCTCCTTTAACTATATCAGGCTTGTTATTTACACCAAGGACTCGGTGTCTGTGTTTGTTGAAGTCAAGGTGTTATTAGGTCTCCCCTCCGGGAGTAAGTTCTGGGTCTTCAAGCACATGTAATAGAAATCAGAGCCTGAATGGATTTTGCTGATTTAGCTGATTGCTCTCTGGCTGAGGAGAGCCGCTATTCTCAGAGTCTCCTGAAACGAGGAACAATCAGGTCTTCCCACACTTTCTTTCATGAAATGAATCAGATTTCCAAGGAAGCAAAGTGTGCATTTCCCCCACAAAAAAGGTCCAGCTTAGAGCACTGGATTACGTGTTCATTCAAGCATTTTAGGGTCTAGTAAGCCTTTGTGGAACGTTTTTCAATTGGTGCTAAGATGACCGGAGCTTTACTGTGTATGGTATAAGCCGTGGCGGCAGAAGCTCAGATTTCTGCTTTTCTGGTTCTCTTTTGTCCTAACCCATGTTCCAGGGTACCGGTAAAGGTGGGGCAGAGCCTGGGGCCTCTGCCAGTCTCAGTTTGACCTTAGAGGAACCATGGAGCTCAGCCTTACCCCAGGGAAACGTCCTCTCTCAGAACCCTTTCTAGCTGGCTCCAAACTGAGAAGCCCATTTTGCCACCAGGCAGAGCTGGGGTCCCAGCTTCTCCTGCCTGTTGGTCCTAGCTCTGCTTTTGTAACTCAGACAGTTGGGACAGAGCAGGGGACTAGCTGATGTTTAAAGACAGTAGGGTTCTCCCCTAATGTCATCCAGGTTTGACAAATTGCTGGTCTGGCAAAAGAAAGGCTTTGCCTTTTGAATTTTTATGGACTGCTGATTAACAAAGTGAAAAATACAGACATGGACGTATTATTTAAACAGTGCCATTATTTTATTTATTTATTTTTAAGTGCCATTACTTTAAAGTAAATACCCAGATGAATTGCTTATTTTCTTTTTTTCCCCCTGGAAATATATTTGCACTATTGTCCTTCACTTAGATTCATTCTGTAGGACCAGGGATATAGCTCAGTGGTACAGTGCCTGCCTGGCAAGCACAAGGCCCTAAGTTTGATTCCCGGTATATGCGCGTGTGCGCGCGCACACACACACACAAAGATTCATTCTGTAAAAGCAGAATTTCACTGTAGTGTAAATGGTTGAGACAGTGTTTGTGTGGACCCGAGGACATGATATAGCATTTGTTGCTTATAGAGGGACACGGTAAATCTAAACTTTGATGGGATGTGCATGGAAAGTTCTCTTTCTGCATTTTATAAGACGAGATTTTTTTAAAAAAGCTATAACTTGAAATCTAGTTATAAATACTAAGATTTATTCCCAGGTGCTAGTCTGCTGTGCTAAGGAATTTGCCAGTCCATGGTAATTGTTATTGTCTGGGCTTCCAAGTTTGAGTTACCCCCTTGTTTGGCAAGGTAGCCTCTATTCAGTGATTTCCTGTGAGGGCTTTGGAATGTTACCTTAGCATCAGCACCCGTTTTGAAGGACTCTGACTGGCCTCCTGGCCTTCTAGGAGGCTCCCTTGTGTTCTGACAGGCAGCCCAGGTAGGTAGGGTTGAGCTGGGTAGGGACGGTGGCATGTGCACAATTCCCACTCTTCCTTACACTCTTAGCAGGTGCTTGAAGAAAGCATCCCAATTTTCAGACACTCAATTCTGATGGTAATTTTTTTAACCGTTGGGACTTTTCAGTATTTACAATTCCATTGATTTTTCAGTAATACCATTTTGTTTCTTCCCATTTTTTGTAATTTTGCTAGAATGTCATTGAGTTGAGAGTTGTTGCTGAGGAGTGCTTACAAATGAAGCTGGTGATCACCCCTAGCACGCGCTGTTTCGTGTTAATCATTGCCCTACTATTGTGTCAAGAAAGGACTACTACTGGCCGTATAAATATTACTTTAAATACATCTGGAACAATAAATTATGAAGAATACTAAGATATTACTGAAGGTTAGGGGATTCTTGAGGTAAAAGCAAAATAATTGACTAGAACATTCAATACGTCCCACTAAGCAAGTTTAAAGGATGGGTAAAGAAGATGCTATAGAGGTGCCACCAGGCTTCCCACTCTGGTAGAGTGGGGCTGTTACACAGTGTAAGAGGCACACTGCCAGCTGAGGACATCAAAATCACATCGCCATACCTCACAGTTTTGGTCCTCCAGGGTCCTCCGTCCCGAGTGGGGCTGCAGAAATGACTTGTCTCCTTTTCTAGGGAGGATAAAGACTTCAGACACACCTCGGGGGAGGGAGGACGGTACAGTACTCTAACATGTAACTTGTGTATGGAACTCAAATTGGACTGTTCTGTATTGTGCAATGTGTCCACGAGTGTTCTCTGAAATTAAGATTACTTTTCTTAGGTCGAAATAAAGGAAGCAGGTAGCACTACAAGTAGTCTGGAGGAAGCAGCTTTTCCAAACCCTCTTGGTCAGGAATCCTGCTGCAAGTTTCTATCATCCCAAGAAGCAGAGGACGCTGTCAGCTCCTCTCCTAAGAAAGACTCCAGCCCGATGGTAACTGTGCGCGTCTTGGGTGTTCTGTTATGTGTCAGCCTGACATTACTAAGCAGATAGATTATCCCTCATTGCTTCTCACCTTGTTTACTTGTTGGATCAGCACTTTGGGGGGCTCATCTACAGAGGGGACTGTGAGAGCTTTTGACTTTTTACCTTTCACCTTGAAGATTCTCATTTGTACTTGATCTTAGCAAATCCATGAAGGATGGGATGTTGCTGAAGGAGAGTAACCACGAGTGATTTCAGTTCACGAAGAGCTGGGCATCGGGCACTGGGGTGGGAACAGCAGTTGAGCTCTGTGTTTTGGCCTGCTGGTGGGATGGCGCTGCGGCTCTATGGCTTCCAGACAGAGGCCCCTCTTTCCTCCCTACCTTCTTCCAAATTTCTTTCTTTTCTTTTCTTTTTGAGACAGAGTCTCACTCACTATACAGTGTACAGTTCAGGCTGGCCTTAAACTCACTATATAACCCAGGATGGCCTTGAAGTTGTGGCACTTCTCCTGCCTCAGCCTCCCAAGTGCTGAGATTACAGGCATGTGCCACCACACCCAGCCTCCTTTCAGAATTCTAATGACAACTACCACTTGTATAGAAATCTAATCTGTCACTCCTAGGGTTTGTGTGATATTTTTGTACTTGTGTTACTGCATTTCATCCTCCTAAAACTCTAGGGTGGGCATGACTTTTAATCCTCATTTCATGGACAATAGAGATGTTAGTTACACTGTCTGCATTAGTCTTCATCATCGTCATGGTCATAAGTGGTATGCCTAGAACTCCTGACCTCATGCAGTGAGGACTAGGTCTGGGGGCCTGGGAGATCTCCTTGAGCCCTCCTTTAGCAAGGTGCTCAGTGATTGTCATCCCTCCAGTAGCTCTCTCTTTCTAGAATGAGACCCCAGCTCTCAGGCACAGGTGGTATCTAGGAAATACTAGAAAATGAGCTTGCTCCCCATGAAATTTGGCTTAGCCATGACAAGCACTTGCACCCACCTCTGACTGTGACTCCACTCAGGTTCCTAGGTCTGACAGTGGAGTTTTTCTGTGACCTGAAGACCTGTAGGATAAGAACCCTCTGATCACCCCAGACTGCAAGTGGATGTTGGCAGAGTCTCTAGAGGGTCTACCTGGGGTGTGCAACACAGAGAGACCCAGAAAGCCTACCCTCAGTCTTTCCCTAGTTTATTACATGTGTGTGCACATAGCTGCAACTGTATCCTCCAAATACAAATAAAATCCCACTAGACATGAGCACTGGCCTCTCACGGATTGTCAGGGGCAGGGACCTGCCCTTCCTACCCTAGTGGCTCTCTGCGTTATTTTGATGACACTGGCCTTTATGCTCATTTGAATTTTCCTGTCCAACACCAATGGTGTTGCCATTGGAATTGGGAGCTGTGTGTGGACAGAGACTGTGGCTTATTTGGCCACTGTGTCCATGCCGTATATCGCACAGAAGGCTCCATCAGTGCTTTTGCTTGACTGATGGGAGGTACTGACAGACTCACTTGACTTGCCAAAAATTTATTAGTGTGAATCCAAACAGGATCTGATGGTACTTGGCAGGGCGAGGAAGGTTGATATGGCTTCTTAAAATTGTCTAGTTCTTGGATTAACTTTTCTAAACTGTACTTGTAGGAAATAAAATGAAGACATTAAAAATATATTAAATAATAATGTGCTGGGCATGGTGGCGCATGCTTGTAATCCCAGCACTCTGGAGACTGAGACAGGAGGATCATTGTGAGTTCAAGGCCAGCCTGGGCTACAAAGTGAGTTCAAGGCCAGCCTGAACTGCATAGCGAAACTGTCTCAAAAAGACAAATAAAATAAAATAATAATAATAATAATGTGTGTGGCAGGAAAGAACAACCACAGTAAAACTAAAGTTCAGTGTTCATATGTGCCCAGCCCCAGAGAGGGCCTTAGGGGACCCAATCAGGTCTGAAAGGTGCCAGGGCCAGTAAGCAGAACTCTCCCTGTTAGTACAGGCTGCAGAGCAAAGACCAAGGTGCAGGAAGCTCTGTGTGTGGTCACCTGGTCCTCACACTCAGCCTCAGTGGCCAGACCCCTATGGAGGAAGACAGCAGAAGGATTAGGGTACACAGAGCACCCTGCAGGAAATGTCTCTGGGAAGCACAGGGAACAGTTATTGTAGAGGAAGAAATCGAGAAAATATCCATAGTTTTCTAACTTCTCCTAAAATTTAAATCCTGGGTTAAAGCTCTCTTCTCAGATTTAAGTTTGCTTAGGTTCATATGACTGGAGTAATGAAACCTGATCATTGTTTTTCATTTTAGGTGATATGTCAGTTGAAAGGGGGCACACAAGTGCTGTGTATAGACAATTCTGGCACAAGAGAACTAAAAGCACTTCATTTGGTTCCTCAATATCAAGACCAAAATAATTGTCTACAGTCAGGTACAAAGTAAATGAATGAAAATTATGACATATGTCCTGTGTAAGTTGGTAAGTGAGTATGCTTGGCTTCATATATAGAGTAAAAGTCAAGAGAGAATATTAAGTAGATGGTTTGGCATACCTCCTGGGCCACAGTAGTGAGTGACATGCTCTTAGGACAGTATCTAACAAAGCTCACCACTGATTCTGAGAAGGAGCATCTCTTTGTGGTCCCCACACACCCAGGCCACCTTGTAGATGTTGAGCTGAGTAGAACCTTTCATCACCAGACTTCTTGGCCTTCCGGCAATCTAAAACTAGAGTCAAACCCACGGTAATTAATGTTAGCCTGTGAAGTCTAGAGCCAAAATAGAAAATGTGACTCCTTATTTCCATATTCCCTCCTTCTCTGGGGACAGGGAAATGTCTCCATGACATTTACTTTTGTGGTGGAAGAGCTGGGGCTGAGCCTTTCCCCAAGAAGCCCCTGGCTACACAGGAATCTCAGGGTTCAGTTCTCTGGTCCTTCTAGGTTACGATTGCATCCATGAAGCTGTCTGCATGCAGGAAGCTATTTTTAAATCCTAATGCCTTCAGATCGACAGAAAGAAAGGGTTTACATAATATTTTGCAGTTCAGCCTCCTTGTCATGTCGTCATGGCCCCTCCCTCCCTAGGCTTCTTACATATATAAAATATGCTGTGTATACATTAAATATCATCATAAAATAGTGCATCCTGTGACCTAAAATTATTGCTCACTCAAAGGATAGAAGCCTGGAGAAGGAAGTGTGTTCAGTTTGCAGGGGTGGGCGCAGGCTGAAGAGAGGAGGACATGAACGTCTCTCCACTTGGAATCCGGAGCACCAAGGTCTGCAGCCCCCGGTGTCAGGGGTGTTCTTCACCTTGCCCTAAGGCCAAGGAAATGTCTTTCAGTGCCAGCATGAGTACTTTGGTCCAAATAGTTGCATAAGCATTTACATCCTACAACTCACCATTTGAAGAAGGCAAGTAGTTCATGCAACGTCCAACAGGTGTCACTGGTCTTTCATTGAAAATGTGACCTACCCAGTGCTGCCCTGGTGAATTTGCAGCACCACCCATAATGCCTGTCACAGTTGGGGAACCTGTGTAGTAATAATGCTCTTTTACTATAGTGAACTATCCCTTGGGGGCTGAGATCAAGTAACTTTATGACAAAAAAAAAACAACAAATGAAGGTTATAAGGTTAAAAAAAATACCCTGACTTAAAAGGTTTTATAGAATAAAATCACAAACAGATTAAGTAACTTTGTACATAATAGATCCAGAATATATTATGGTATTTTCTTCCATGTACAAATGGAAGAACAATAATACATGCTATCAATTAATTTTAATTGTCTTCCTTACAGATGTCCCCAAACCACTTGCTACTTTAGTAGGAAGATTTTTGCCAGTACCAGCAAAATTAAATCTCATTACACCACAAGTAAGTCATTGTTTTAATACAAAAATACAACTGGGCATTACTGTCTCTTGAAATTTCAGTTGTTGCAGTTGAACTCGCTCAGGAATAGAATTTATCCTCCAGTTAAAAATCAGCAGTGAAACATTTACCAGGTATTGGATCCCTTCACCCCCATGGCAGGCATGGGCAGGGTAGAGTGAGAAGGAGACACGATTCCTTGCCAGTCCAGGGACCCGAGTTGCCCTTCCTCACAGCCTTCTGACCCTCACTGTGCTTCCTTGCTAACCTTGTGTTTTACAGTCCCACCATGCCTCGGGGATGTGGACATGCTTTTTTAAAATTGTGCTTTTATGATGACACCATACTATGCATGTACTGTATATAATTAGAAAACATACGCTTTTGTCCCATGTCCTGCCATAAAGAACCATAAAGGACCTCCCCATAAGAACCTCCTCTAACTCCCCAGCACAGACAGCCAGTCAGTGTCACAGCACTGTCACTGTCTTCTGTTGTTTGATTTGTCTGTCTGTGCATACATACACAACAATACAGCTCCATAGGCATAGAGTCCACATGTGACATTCATCTCTGAAAACTGAGACTCGGCAAAAGGCCTGCCATGTGGGAACATCGCTCACTTGCATCAGGACGGGTGCTGGCCTGAGACATCAGCAAACTTACAAACAGGACAAAACACATAACTGCTCTCCTGCAGCTTACGTTTTAGTCCAGGAGGCAGGTGACAAGCCTAAAAAGTAAATGGTAGCGTGTCAGGAGAGCAGAGGAGGAGGATTAGGGAGAGGTGGAGAGCTTAGTGGGAGAGGTGGATTTTAAGTTTAAACAGCGTGGTCACAGCTCCATGGAGAAGGTGACATGTGAGGAAGTCTTGGAAGAGATGAGTGGGTGTATGCTTTTCACAGGAAGAACATTCCAGGCAGAGGAAAGAGCACAGGCCTCAAGGAGGGTGACACTTTATGCAGTGGCAGCAAGGGGGCCAGCAGGGCTGGGATGAGAGAGCGAGGGGAGGGCAGTAGAGAGGAAGTCCAGGACAAGGGAAGGACTGTGGCTTTCACTCTGTTTGGAAAGGGGCTGCTGGAGGAGGGTCAAGGTGGAGGCAGATGAAGCTGCTGTTGCTGTAACCTCCATGCGGGATGTAGTGGCTCAGACCAAGTAGTAGCAACAGAAGTAGCAAGGAGTAGCTTCTGAGGACTTTGTGGGTTGGGCCAACAGGATTCGCAGCTGTCGGGCTGGATGAGAGATATAAAGAGAGAGACAGGAGTCAAGGATGGAGTAAGTTGGAGGCACAGCTTCCTGCCAGCTGTGAAACCATGTGGCCCTTCATCTTGCAGACCATCACTGTGCCTTGCTGATTTTCAGCCTAAACAAATGGAAAGGTGGCGTTTGCACCAGAGAGATGAACTAGTACAAATTTCAGGGGAGTTGAAGAGTCCAGTTCTGCCTGCCGTATCAGTGGGAGGTATCTCAGGCAGCCCATGCAGGTGTACAGGAGGTGAGAGAGGAAGGTCTGGACAGGGAATGAAGCTGGGACTCACAGCGTGGAGATAGTATTGAAAGCAATGCAAATAGACGAGTCCAGGAGGCAGCAAGTATGAATAGTGTGAAATGTTTGTTGAAAGTATACTATGTCTCAAGTTAGATGTTAGCCAGGAGGAAAACTCATACTAAAGAGTGCAGGAGACAAACAGGTCTAGACCACAACTGGTGAGCAGCCCTAGGGAGTCTGCTGGTGCTGGGTAGACACTTCCATCTGCTGGCTTTGTCCACACCACCAGTTTCCTTCCTTCACTGAGCTACCATCCAGGAAGAGCAAACACCCCTCATGCTTGCTCCTCCACCTCTAAGGTATAGCATGAGGAATGCCCAGTGAGCACAGCCTCCTGCCTCCTCCTCCTCCCCATCTTTCCTCAGCTTTGTTTATTATTGTCCATCTTGGCTCTCCTGACTTCTTACTCTGTGTTGTCAGAGACAGTTCTTTTAACACTGCATTTGCCACATCCCAAGAATCCCTGGCATTCCTGCCAGACCCCGACTTCTGTCTGTTTCATAGGGCCTCTCCACTCAAAGCATGGTACACGATGGAAAGCACTGGCATTCTCTCAGAGCCTGCTAGAAATACAGAATCTCAGGGCTTACCCAGGGACTCAGACATTCTGGATCAGAATGTGCATGTTAACCATCTCCCACCAGGCGGTTTGTACACACAAGATCAGCTAGAAGTACCACCATAGAGTTCAGTCTTCACTCCTGCGAGGCAGACATTGCTGAAGGAACTCATAGGTTCTGGCATAAAACTGCTCTAGATTAATGACCTATCTAGTACATAAGAGGCATCTCTGTTTCCTGCCTTACTGTGAGGCTAAATAAGTAAATGGGAGAAGTAACTTTACCTGGTTTATCCAAAGAATTGCCTTGACCCTGAGAACTGTGAAATTCCCTCTCCTGAAAGGGTGCAAAACCCTCAGGCGACTGTTTGGAGATGGCAAGGAGTGCCCACAGCTCCAGCTGGACAGGTGCAGGAACCCTGGGGGAAGCCTCATGGGCCTCCTGATTCTGATGGGTACCTACCCCAGGTGGGCCAGGGCAGTCTCCCAATGCCTCCCAGCTCTCATAGGTGGACTGCAGAAGGGGCAGGAGACAGGAAATGAAGAGGATGGATAACAGGTGCTTTTCAAAGGCCACACTTGAAGAATTTTTCATCTCCAGTTTTGGGGGCCAGGGGGACAAGAATAGGATGCTTACCTGTGATTTATACAAAGCATTTCAAATTCAATTTTATCTCATGCTCTCAGAAGAAAGTTAGGCCAGTGATGGTTTGGCTCCCCACCCCTTTTCCTGCACCTGCATGATCGGGAAGGGAAAGAAGGGAAAAGACAGCCTGAGAAAGCAGAGGACATGGATGATGCAGAGCTGGAGGTGCTGCTTTGGAGTGTGTTAAAATTCCAAGTATATTTTTGAATAGATGAAAAATAGTGACTACCGAAAGACATCAAATGTCAAAATCTCTAAGAACATAATAAGATGCTTTTAGTTTATGGAAAGTTGTAATTGCTTTTGTTTCACAGTTGGTTATTCATAAAAAGGAAATAGAGCAGTATCTCTCCCCAGCCTGCTGACAGCTGTGTGTGCCGCTTGCTGGCTTCCCACTGTGGCCCTGCAGCGCCACTTTTGTCTCTCTGTGTCCCAGGGTCCCGTGGCTGTGTTAAGTGGCTGCCACTGGATTATTTGCATTGATAACAACAAAAAACTGTATCAGAACATCTTGATATTATGTGAAACTGAGACCAAGCTAGAAATGTCAACAAGCCCTGAAGCCTGGGCATAGAACAGGGGACAGTGGTGTGGCAACAAGGGCTGGTGCAGACAAGCCTGTCCTCGAGACAGCCTTGACCTAGTGTGCTCAGGTGGTAGTGGATTCTTTGTGATAATAAGGCCTGGACATGATTAAAAAGAGACTGATATGAACCTAAAGCAGTTCATTAATTGAACCTTTTAGAGAGTTCAGTGGTACCAACAGCCCACTGCGGCACACCTGCGCTAGGTTTACCACCACTGACCTCGAGGAAAAAGAATGTTTATCTGTACATAGACGCTAGCTGGCTGGAGCTTTGAATATATGTGCTAATGCAAAACATTTTTCCTTTGACTTTGTACAGCTTGACAGTGGTGCCCTCCCATCGGCAGCCAACAACGGGCCTGCTTTCCCCTCGGAACCAACTCTTCCAGGGCCACCGAAAATAACTTTGACTGGGTAAGGATTAAAAGCAATGTATTATGACTTCCTTTGATGTAAGCATTATAGAGGCTTTTGTGTACCTTTGGGGTTTCCTTTTGTACTGCAGAATTAGCTTCGGAAAGACTAGTTCTGACCTGACCAGAACCCCTGATGGCGTGGTTGTGCACATGTGGTTGGTGTTGCAGTAAAGGCTTGTCTTGAGCAGCCCCTGGTTTCCACTCCACTGTCCCCTGTTCTGTGCCCAGGCTTCAGGGCTTGTTGCCATTTCTAGCTTGGTCTCAGTTTCACATAGTTTCAAGATGTGCTGGTCTAGTTCTTTTTTGTTGCCATCAGTGCAAGTAATATAGTGACAGCCACTTAACAAGGTGGTAACTGCAGAGCTGCCTCTGCCCACTGCCTTCCATGCTAAGCAAGCACCAGCTCTGTGGCAGGATCCTGGTGAGTCTCTCCTCATGTCTCTGATGGATGTGGGCTGCTCTGAGCTGGGACCTTGTCTTGCCATTTTAAAGTTGTGTTTATGACTATAACTAATTCAACTAACCAAGCTGTTTGAAATGTTTTGTCAAGTTCACATTCATGCGCTCACTGTGGTCTGGGCCATCCTTTCTCCTGAGTCCTGAATTGAATCAGTGAGATCATTCTGTTCCTATCTCTAAGGGTGTTGTGGCTGAGTTTATGTAGTCATGAATCTGAGGCCTGGAGGACGCCAACACCTTCTGAAAGGCAAACTGGCCTCTGGTGCTGGCCAGCACCTGCAGGTCTGCCCATGGGCACACCATGGCCTTGGTAAGTGTTAAGAGAGCTGTCTGAGGCCAGGAATGAAAGGTTATCGAGTGAAGTCCCTAGAGGGGCCCTGAAGGCCAACTGGAGTCCAGTCCACTCATAGGGCTCTGCCTGGTGCTGGGAGGGGGCTGTACTCAGGACCTGCTGACTCGGTTTGAGCAGGTCCTCCTTCAGCTGATGGCTTCCAGTGACTGTGGTGGACAGAACTGTGTGGAGCCACTGTCCTTGCCTCACTCTCTGGTATGATTGATAGTGAGGACACATGATTGGTATTGTCATTGTTCATTTCATCATTAATATTTCTGGATGAAACAAAAACGTCTTAAGAACCTCCTAGATCTAGCTGATAGCATTACATCTTCAGTTGCATCGTGTAATCTGAGATTCCACAAGCCTCAAGATGTGCATGGTAGCTTTGCTGTGCTCTGGGTACATCTGGTCAATGGTACTGCGCCACTGCGTGCTCTGTTGTGTCTAGGGCAGTGTGGGCTCTCACAACACATGGCCATCTGAGCCCTCACTGCGGTGCAATGTGTGCGTTTTCACAGGAGCAGCTTTCTCTCTGGCAGACTTTCTTTTTTCCTCTTCTTGTCCTCTGCTTTCTTCCTCCCTCCTTTCTCTCCCCCTCCCACTCCTCCTCCTCCTCAGTCTATATTAGATTTTCTCAGTGACATATTTTTCTTTATTTTGAATAATTATGCAAGATACAAAAGCTTTTCTCATCATAAGTGATGTGTCAGGAGCAACATGAGCTTTGTTGTAGTTCTTAGCTGCAAATAATTACTCGATTCACCATCACTGTTCTGAATCAGCCCTGATGATTTTTATCTCAGCACCCACAGCACTGATGCTGTTCTGAACTCAGGCAGTTTATCCCTGACAGTAAGGGAGCACTCAGAGAACTGTCGGCTGGTGTCTTTTTTTCCTATATGTTCCCAGCCACCGTTGATTTACTTCATTCTTCACCCCAGTACATGCCTTGTTTGCCTTCCTGTGACTCCTACAAGATAACGAGGTCAGCCTAGGTCTGAAGGAATCAGAAAAGAAGCTCTGTCAGCCCAACATGGTTCCAAACTATCTAACCCAGCAGGAGATACAGAAGCCTTGAGACCAAATACATGATTTGACCCAATCATCATTCTTAGAGCTGGGTACCGAACTGGCTAACTTATTAGTCTTTCGTTATGATAATCCTAAAAACTGTCTTAATAAAAAGTCATGTCCTATATTGGCTTCCACAAAGTCCTGCAGTTCTTGTGAAGGAGAATGTTCTGCTTCTATATGTTGGCCCTTTTTACTCTAATGGCAATGGTGTAGATAATTTTTATACTAATTTGGTCAGTATAGAAGGCTGGTAAAAATATCGTCCTACTATTCTATATAGCTTTAATAATCTGATCCTCAGTCGGATCGTAACTGTGAATCCTGACACATGGCTGATACTTTCATTTTTGGTAAATACTGACTTTCACAATAAAGAATTTCCAGAGCCTGCTTCTCTGGAAGTTTTCTTTAAAGATGAGGCGACATCTCATTGTGGGATAGGTCATCATAATGCTTTTCGGAGGCAGTGCTATCTAGATCTTGTGTAACCCTTCTAACTTTTAGGTTGGTCCCAAAGATGGTGAAGTGGAAGTCTTTCCCATCTCATTGCCGTTACAATGGGCGAGTTCCTTCCTGTCCCCTGCATACTGCATGCTTGTGGTTAACATGGTGTCTACCTGTGCTGCTCTTTCACATGAGGCATCTTTTGACCCATAATAAAGAAACTTTACAACCTTAAACATAATTGGCTCTATTTCCTTCAGTAGTAGTTTAATTTTTTCCATCTGTATTAAATTATCCTAGGCCTGACTTTTTGTAGCATTTACAATTAGTATAAAACAGTTTGACAGTGTACTATGTTATGCTCTCTATATTTTCAGCCATCCATCTAATGTCCCCAGTTATTTGGTGGATTCCTCCATGATGGATACTGTAAATTTAAAGATACTTATTTCTGATATCCTTTGAAGCACTCACCTCTGTCTTGACCATGTGATAGGCCCTTAGTCCAAGTGTGCTGGCTGGTCTTGCCACTGCAGATACTCACTGAACTCTTACTGCCTCAGTATCTTAGCACTGACAGCCAAGAGACAAAGCAGGAATGCTGAGAGTGTGGAGCTCAGACACAGGGGACAGGACAAAAGGCTTGGCTCCCTCTGGGCATAAAAGTCTGAATTATAATCATGTAACAAACAGCACAGCTTTCATCCTGCACCAAGTGCTGTTCTAGATCCTTAAGAAATTTAGGCTGGGCCTGGTGGTGCATGCCTGTAATCCCAGCACTCAAGTGGCTGAGGCTGGAGTATTTCCATGAGTCCAAGGCCAGCCTGGGCCACATAGTATGTTCGAGGTCAGCCTGAACTACATAGTAAGGCCCTGTCTCAAAGAAATTAATTAATTAATTAAGGACTCAATGTGCCCTTGGCCAAAAGCAGCAGTGCACTGCAGAGACAAAAGCTACATGCCTGATCTCCAGGAGCTCATTGCCTGGTGCAGTAGGCACTCATCTGCCAGGCCCTCCTCATACTCTGGGTTTCCCCGTGTCCCTCCTTTCACCATCACCAGTCCCACCTCTGGCATCACTGACTTGTGAGTTCTCACAGTGAGCATCACTTCTGAACAGTGCCCACGTTCAACACGTGAGCCACCTAAGGAGAGGGGTCCTTTCTTTTCCTTTCAAGATGGCGGCTGGGCAAATCACACAGGCAGTTGGGAGGCAGTTGTAATAATCCCTTCCCAAAATGAAGGAGATCCCCAAAGATCACATGATACACTCAAAGCACTCTTTGATATTGTTGGTAACATTACAGTGTGGGCCACTTTAACACTGGTATGCTTTATGGACAGTGGTTTTTCCTTGATGCCTACTTCCCATTAGCATTCAGATGGGGGACACTTGGTGGGGGAAGCACAGAGAGTAGAAAGAGAATAGACATTTAAATAGGGCAGAGAAAAACTCTAGGAAGCTTTCCAGAAGTGTATATGGCAATAGGATCTCCCTTCCCCACCCTGTGGATCGCCAGCCAGGCACTGGTGGGTCGGGCAGGGCCAGTTACATCATATGTGGACTGTCCTGCTGCCCCCAGTACATGCCCAGGCACCTAGAAATAATACCTGTAAATGTCTGGTGTTGGATTTTCAGTGTTTGTTCAAAACACCAGCTGCTTAGCTAATTCTCTTTTTCCAGAGTAACCATCTGAATACATTTTCTTTTTTAATCCTTGTAGAGTAACTCTTAGTTCATGGGACACAAAGTCTAAAAAGCCATGTAACTGTACCAAATCCCAGTGTCTGAAATTGTAAGTAACCACAAATCCTTCATTATTAAATATGAAATAAGGTTGTTTAGAAGTCACTAAGTGGAGCACAGTGTAGACAAACCAGACTAGCTTAGTAGTGTGCATGCTGCAGTTAATTCTCAACTGCCACATCTTGACACTCATTGTAAACCAGAACAGGCAAAAGACATGCTTTTTTGGCATGAACCTGGTTTAGCTGTTGTGGTGTTATCTTGGCCTGTTAACTTAAAAAAGGCACTTCCCGCACTTCAAGGAGTGCAATTTTCTTGATTTTGGTTTACGTCCTCTAATCTAGTTCCTCTGGCAGTACTAACTGTGTCATCACTGTTGAGGATTAACTGTAACATTTCCATACCCTGTTTTCTGAAATCTGATGAATTGGTTTACAGTCAGCTTTTCTGTTGCTGGGACACAATACCTGACACCCACTGTTTAAAGGAGGAAAAGGGGATTCCGTGCATGGTTGGCCCGCTCCAAAGCAAAAGCATCATGGCAGAAGGGTGTTGTGGAAGCAAAGCTGATTAGTTCATGGTGGGTAGGAAGCAGAACAGGGAAACAGTGCCAGAGAAGAAGGGACACAAGGGACTGAAGATAGAACCCACGATCATGCCTCTGTGACCTACCCAAAATTGTGCTCCACCAACCCCTCACGTGGATCCCAAACCCAATCAAGTTGACACTCCACCCTAACTGCCTCATCCCACCCCTTGCCAATTTCAGATCCAAACATGTTTTCTTAAACAATAGCTAATCTCTAAATAAAGACAGTAGGGAGTACATAATTCCACCTAACACAATACAGCTATCCTGTGCATAACCAGAAAGGCAACAGTTCCTTCCCCAAAGTCTCAGCAGTTCCAGCATTTTTCAAAAGTCCAAGCCAAATCT